ATCAGGTGTGGATCTAATTACATCTATAATCTATATGCTGCTGCCTCTCGGTAGACAAGGAGGTCTTCTATAATCTTCCTGGAAAGTTCCTAAGGAAGTCGTTTCTTGAGACAAGTATTTTCATAGTTGATGGCTTCCTTCCACCAGTATAGGGATTGAGACGGCACAGATCGGGTTGAGCAGACGACAAAATGGGGATCCACAAGATGAACCTGCATGAACTGTATGATTCCTGATCGTGACGACTCCTCCAACTTGGATGCTTCGAACTGATACTGGAGGTTTTTGGGATAGGTGACTGTCTGACCCTCTAGCAATGTGATGCTACGGATCTCTTGGAAAGCAGGCGTTTTCCCCCCTGTCTCTCGGTCGAGGGCTATTGGCCACAGCTGGACGACCGAAAGTTGTCAAAGAGGTTCTGCTGCGCATTTGAAGATTCGAATGCCGGCAGTCGTCTGGTTTGTTCTCCAATGCGCCGCGCTTTGTCTCCGCTCGAAATGAGATTACTCCCGAGACAGGGCTAATGTTCTGTCGAGGCAAGCATATGAGTGTCGACCCGACGATACTGTCATTACGATTACCGTCGAGGCTTCAGTACATGTGGCTATAAGAGCAAATCAGAACAGAAAAGGCTATGTTGTCCCTATGTATCGCGACTTACTGCATGCTGTCTTCTGAAACGGAGCCATCTGAGCCGAGTTCGATGGTCGAAATGTCCACATAGATTTGCAATCCCTGATCTTCGAAGCCGTCACACAGGGAGACTTTGTCATATAACTTTTTCAAGTTGGCATATAGCCCGACAGGCGACACATCAAAGACAAGGGGTAGCGTCCAAGGCGAGAGGAGAAGCGATCTCGTTTCGACTTTGAGTTTCAGTCGCTGCCCGCCCAGCGATCTGACTTGCAGATGCGAGATGCAGAGTCCAAGACAAACACCAAGCGGCTGCTCGCATACTCAATAGCTTTCTTCCGAAGCTCGAATGCGTAGTCATTCTCAAAGACTGTTGCTTTCGAGAACTTAATTCGCAAATGTCTCCATTCTCTATGCGCGACAGACAGAGAAATCTTCAATCTTGATTTGCCACTCCCGCCGATCAGGAAAATCGTTGATGAGTCGCTCGCTGGATTATAAGCTCAGAGAAACCAAGACAATATTTTCTCCGGGAGATTAAAACCATGAGAGAACTGGAGATACACATGACGCTCAAAGTTGATGCTTGTCGAGACACTTGGGACTTGTTGTGGCATGGAATCGTGATTCGGCTCAACCAAAGTTTTCGCCGCGACGAAAAGTGCAGCGACGCGCTTCTTCCTCCCCCCACTAATAAAGAATTGCGCAAGTTAGCTTATATTTCAAAAGGGTAAATGAAAAGGTTAGACAGACATCTACCATGCTGGAAAGTTACTGTCGCATTGACTGCCCGACTAGTCGTAATGCTGCCAACTGGAAAGAGGCAGCAAAACCAACCAGCAGCCGTAACGCCGTTGAGTACACGGTTTGAGAGGCATGATTTACACAGACTGCATTGTAACTATAGAACAATGAAAAAGCTCGACTGCGTGGTGCATATCCAACGGAACAGTGCGAAAGCAGATTGCTTGTCTTCTCCGACAGGATCTGCTGGGACAAGAAGAGGACCTGCCGGCCGAGAAGTGCCAGCCGCAAGCGAGGTGAGGCACAGATCAGGCGAGCCAACTAACAATTACCAGTTTAAGAAGATATTGCGCCGAAAAGGTAGTAAAAGCCTGTATCTGCTATGGATCGATACAACTGGGCGTGTAGCAGTGTCTGTATTCACCCTGCTGCTCTTCTTGATGTCACCAGCCGAGTCATTTTCCTCCATTTATTCACGACTTTGGCTCAAAATCAATGCAGCCATCAAGAAATTCCTCATCGGATACGCCTTGATATCCGCCAGCGCCGGCGTGCTCTAGTCTCTGTCTGTACAGCATGTTCATCAAGCTGGCCCCTCGCGCTTCGATCGGCCTCCATGACGACTGACAAGTATAGTCACGCGCGCTACACTTGGGTTCCTGAGCAAGACTAATTCCGACTCACTCTTCAATCTATACAGTGAAGATGTGGAAGGGCTATCCAAGTGCGTGCTGGCAAAGGTGTGCTCGATGCTGTACTTTTCATTCGTCATCTTGATCAATGTGGGAGCCATCCCCACCGGCACAACCTACATGGCTGCCATTTTGCCTGCTTGTTTTTTGGTTGCCTTTACTTTATGCAGCGGTACTATGTTCGCACATCCTGACAGCTTCTTCTTCTCGTGATTGAGGCCAAAGCCCCCTTGGTCAGCTCCCTGCGTGATATTGGCACTGGCATTGTCTATATCCGCGCGTTTCGCACCGAAAAACACAGCTTTGCCCACTTCTTGTACATTTTGGACCGGTCTCAGAAGCCGTACTACTTTCTTCTGGCTTCACAGGCGTTTCTGTCGCTGACCTTGGACCTCGTAGTCGCCTTGATGGCACTGACTTTGTCAATCCTTGCGCTGCATGTCAAGGGCTCGACCTCGCCAAACGCTGCAGGTCTTGCATTTTTGAACCTAATCACACTCGGTACAGGTTTCAATATGGTAAAAGTAAGCTCCATGGAACAAATTTATATTTAGGCATGTATAAGAAACGAGAGATGATGCTGGAGTATATTATGGGTTGTACCATGATTGTGGTTGCGCACCGCGAAGAAACCATTGCCGACACCAATCGCACAGTGCACATGGTAAATGGCCAGATTGAGCATGTCGATGTTTGGGACGACTATTAAAGCTCAGCAGGTCTACACAGGTCGTTATCTCTTGGACATGTCTCTCCAAGTACATTAGTCACAGGCATATATTCTACGTCGTCCAGTCTTTTGCTCTTCGTCACTGTGGCTCGTAGATGGCCAGTCTGAACAACACCAGCGCGCTTTTCGTTTTCACTGATGAGTCTGATAATGAAGAGTCTATAGTTCTTTTAGACGTTGCAAAGAATTCAGTATGCATAGTGTACTATAATTACACCCTTCTTGAATAGTAAAATAATGAGAATAAAATCCGTAACGCCGTCGCTGAGGTTTCGGGCTGACCCAATGCGAAACCCCGTTGCCAATTCTTTTCTTTTGCATCATCTTTTGTAGCAACAAGACGCGTCTCTTTCCGAACGCCCTTCTGTTCTGCTTGCACTCTAAATCGACGTCGGCGCGGCATCCTTACGCCAGCCCCTGGCGCGCATATTCAGCTCAATCGTCTTCCAGATGGACTCGACAGCCTCCTTGTCGCGAAAGCGGGAGGCGTCCGGGCCGGTGCCGGTGCCGGCACCGCCGCGCCAGCGGTCAATGGTCGCCGACAGCACGCGGTGGCCCCAGTCGCGGACGTTATCCGGGAGCTGGTCGCCGCGCCAGCCGACAAAGACGCCCTGGACGTGCTTGAAGAGCTCGTTGGGGTTGCTCCACTTGTAATTCTTAAACTGCCACGTCTGGCCGGTGGTGAAGACGGCAACGACGCGGTTCCAGTACTCGGGCTTGAACTGCTCGGGGCCCTCGACCAGGATGAAGCGCATCGGGCGGCTCGGGTCCACGCCGCGCATCATCCGCTGCACGTGCAGCATGCTCACCGTCGAGGCGCCCGCGTCGGGCGGCACAAACTGGCCGTCCTCGAGAAAAGAGCGCGCGTTGGACGTGCGCAGCAGCGACGAAGCCGACGGTGACAGCAGGATGATGGGGTCCGGTCTCCGGGACGGGCCCTTTTGGTTGAGGGACAGGGCCGGGTTAGCGACTAGGTTCGCCGTCGACTGCGACTTGCGCTGGATAAAGGGCGCAGCCAGCTTGCGCACGTGTGAAAAGTCCTGTTGTATGCTATTGCGTTAGTGGCACAGCTCTCGAGGACGAGTTGCCGTCAATTCAGTCGCGACCGCAACTCGACGGACAAACACTGAGAGCAAACGAAGAGCACTCACCGTAGGCTTGATTCCTCGTAGAACAGTATTGCGGTCTCCCATGCGACGCTCGCCGTCGTATATGCTCGCCAGTCTAGGGTCAATAGTGCCCTTTCCCGAGCGCGCCTGCACCGCCGCCGACGCAGCACCCGCCTTGGTCGCAGGAGCCGCTGCAGCCGCCTCGGCATCGCCCGCGAGGGGCTTGATGTATTCTGACTCTTCGCTCGCGCCCTCGAGCCAGGTGATGAGGTCGAGACGCTCGATGAAGCCGAGGTTCTGGACCTTGGCCGCAGCGCCGCCCGCGCCGTCAAGCTCGCCGTTGAGCGTCGTCGCCGAGGCGTTGTATTCTGGAATGGCCAGCTCGCGGTTCAGCCAGGCAAAGTAAATGGAGCGCAGGTCGACGGGCTTGTCGTTGGAGATGAAGCGCGTCGCGGCGTCCATCGGAAGGGCCGTCGGCGACGACTGGTCCGGGATCAGTAGGTGGCTGGCCTGCGCGAGGCCTACCTCGGGGGAGCCCGCCTCGGCAGACGCGCTGGGGACAATGGCCTGCCCGGCCGCAATGGCCTGGCGAAGCCGCAGCAGCGGGTCTTGCTCGTTGGCCGCCATTTGTCTGTTGCTGGAGGTTTGTCGATGGGGATTGGGAGGGTTTGAAGCTTTCTTGGGCGGCGCCGGTGACGCTGGTTGGCAGAGGCGAATTGTGTGGCGCGAACGCACAAACTGGGCTTAGCGCGTCTTTGTTACTGTGCGGCAACGACAAGTCAGGCAGGATGGTGAAAAAGTATGAAACAAAGAATAGTTATCAAGTAGTAGTAGTCATTGTATGAATTGATAGAAGCCTTCGAGAATAACGGCTCATTGTGCAATTGAAACTGGCATGGCAGAATTACAGCCTCTCTGTGGCCGCACATGAGCATGCACCTACTACACTAGTGATAAATCCACATGTAATGATAGACGGCAGACTGCTTTCAACAAGTTTCAATATCCATGTTCTTCTGATTTTGATATTCCTTTGATATATGTACTGTCATGAGAGAAAGGCAAGCATTCTTCCTGTGCCGAGTATAACATCCAAAACCTGCCCGCCCACGGCGAACCAACCCTCAACAAAGTAAAAAGATGATGACGGAAAAAACACCAATCGCTCAACCTTGCCATCTGCAGAATGACCCATAAAACGCCAACCCGTGAGATTTCTCATAAATTCCTTCTTTTTTTAAGAGAAAAGAAAGCATTGCTCAGATACCAAGAAGGAGCTTCATCCGTTCGTATGTATAGAAGCTCACTGCCGCCAGAGGAATTACCTTGACGTATCCAATCGTCAAGCCAACAAAGAATCCGCGAAAACCACGTTCCTTCCATATCATGCCCGCTGTTTCGCCGATGCGTAACCGGCGACCGTCACCAACGGCACCGCCGACCTGCATGCGCCGGCGAATCACTTCGAGCGGATACGACGCTGTTTGCGAAATCAAGCCCGCCGCGCCGCCGGCGGCCAGTTCAGCCCAGGACCGCAGCGCGGCTGGCTTCCCGGGCGGGTGATTTGCCTTTTTCGGCAGCGTTGTGTATTGGGCAACCAAGGGATGCCGCAGCGCATCGCTGGCCGTGTCGTGCGTCAAGAAGGACATGCCGGCGTAGGGGAGCATGCCGAGAATAGTCGGGGTGAAGCCGCGGTAAAAGTTGACCAGCCCTTTGCGAGGCGTCACGGCCTCGACAACGTTGGGCGTCTCGCCGACGGGGCCCGGTGCGTTGGGTAGCCTCGCCGTAGCTGTCTTGTCCACGGGCTGCTCGTTGTATATTTGGCGGCAGATGGAAATGAGGGGTGACCGGCCTTGCGCTTTTGTCTCAAAGGCCAAGCGCACTCGGATGACTTCGAGGGGATATGTGAAGAAGACGGAAGTGACGCCTGCCAGACTGCCGCTGAGTAGCCGGCGAAGGGGTGTCTCGTGGTTTTTGTCGGGGATGATGACGGCTCGTATTTGCTCATAGGCCAAGAATTTGATGCCGGCGTATGGGAAGATTCGAAGAAGCGTGGCTGAGTGGCCGCGGAACAGACCGCGACTGCCCTCATGGCCGTAAATGTCCTTCATGGCAGACAAGACGCCAAATGAGGAGCCCGTGTACTTGGCGAATTGCGGATTGCTAGCTTGGAACAAGATTTTTACTCTATCGAGCGGCGCGACCAAAGTTTTTGCCTAAATTATCTGTGTTAGCACAGGCGCTCCCAATCGATGCATTTCGTGCACCGAAAACTGGTCGGCTTATTCGGCTTACGGCGCAACCGGCAACTCCACCAGCGACGCCGGATCGCCAAGCATAGTCAAAGGAAAAGGTCTTTGTCTTTGGCATGACGTTGTTCTCCTGATCGGTCGGACAGATGGCAGGATCGGTCTTGGTATGCTTCGCGGCGGCGACGCCATGATGCGCTTTGGTCTGGGCGGCCTGGGCCATGGACGAGAGGTCCGCCGCGTAGGTCTGCGGCATTGGCGCGAAGAGGCGGGAGGGGGGGATGGAGGGTAGCAGCAATACGGAGGTTATGAAATAAACATGCCGCTCGCGAGGTAAACGTGTAGAAGAGGAAAGAGAGAGAAAGAGGAGGGCTGCCGCAAAGGCGGGGATGCGAGGATGATCGTGTGTCGTTTGTCAAGGCGAAATTGAACTGGGCAAGTGTCTCGGGTTGCCACAACGAGACCTGGAGACCTGGAGGCGTGGAGGCGTGGGGGAGCAAATAGCAGTCGCCGTTTTGGCGATTATCCGGCTCCCCGGAAAAAAAATTAGTGCCTCATTCGCTCACAGCGCTGCGGGCTTTGTCGCACGGATAATTCCCCTTGCTAGTTAGGTAGTTCTTATGGTACATAGTGGGCGTTGCTCTCTCTTTCCCTTGGGTGAGCCGCTAACCCGTCACGGGCCCGTCTGCCGAAGCCGACAATTACCGAGAAATATTCGTGGGCGACTTTTTTTGTCTTGGGAGTTGAGTCGGCGTTATGCCGAGCGTCCGGCCACCACATACACTTTTGACACACACCAAGACACACCAAGACACCCCACGTCATATCGGTGTCCTCGCCGACCATTTCTTTCTCGACATGCAAGCCATGTAAGCTGCAGAACATCAGACCAACCAAATCGCTACCCCAGACGTCATTTCATGCAGCAGCCGCCGCCGCGGCACTCCAAAGCCGCCTCTGCCCAGCTGCCCTCCTCCATCCTCTACCGCAGCCCCGACGGCGCCACTGTCGTCCTTGATATTCCCAGATCGCTCGAGGAGAGCCAGGTACGCCTTGGCGAAGAGCACGATGCCCGATGCCGGATATATTCCTCTGCAGCCCCGGTCACACCGTTTGCGACGCCCGAGCCAGTCCATGGTGTTGATCCCGACGCCACTGCCTCGCCCGCGGCGCAAATTGACGCCTTGATGACGGCAGAGAGCCTGCGAAGCACACTCGATGCTCTATCACGAAGTTACACAGGAGAATACGGCCTGCCACGGCTCACAGCCCCGGAAATTTCTTCACCGTCAACGTCGTCGTCGTCGGCGTCGTCACAGGCTGCCGACTCTGAACTGTACATACCGCCAGACGCCCATCATCTCCATGGCTCCATCTACCACTTGAAGCCGTCCTTTACACAACTCGCGCCCAAATTTCGACTCATCATCATGGACCCTCCCTGGCCAAACCGCTCCGTCCGGCGCACGACGGCCCGCTACAAGACGGCCCGCTCGCTCTCCGACGTGCAGTCGCTGCTCCGCGCCGTTCCCGTCCCCGCGCATCTCGCCGACGATGGGCTGGTCGCCGTCTGGATGACCAACAAGCCCCGCATCGCAGAGCTGCTCCGCGGCGTGCTGGCCGAATGGGGCCTGCACGTCGCGGCCGAGTGGACATGGCTCAAGGTCACGGCCGACGGGCGACCGCTGTACCCGCTCGACTCGGCCTGGCGCAAGCCGTGGGAGCGGCTGCTCGTGGCCAAGCGCATCGGACGCGCCGCCCCGGACGGCTTGGCGCCTAAGACCATCGTCGCCGTGCCCGACGTGCACTCGCGCAAGCCCAGCCTTCGCGGCCTTTTTGGGGACCTGCTCGGCTTGGACTACGTCGGCCTCGAGGTCTTTGCCCGTGGTCTCACGGCGGGTTGGTGGAGCTGGGGCGACGAGGTGCTCAAGTTTCAGCAACCACAACACTGGCATACATTGCAAAATCAGTAGCGTAGCAGTGCATACAAGTTTTTTTTTTCCTGTTTTATATCATGTACAAGGCAGCCGTGTCGGTACGCCACGATGCAGCTACAATTATGCGCGTCGCGCATTCGCTAAAAGTACAATGCCGGCTCTGTCGTCATTTCTCCAACGAGAGCGCCTCCATGCATGCTTCACCTCTCCCGCCACCAGAACCTAGCACGCTTATTGCGCAGGCTTGGGCTTCCTCCTGGCCGCCTTATCCTTGGCGTCGTTGCGCAGGGCAATTCTCTCTGCGGCCGTCTCCTTCTTGCCCCGGCTGCCTGCTGTCCTTGTACCCGCCGCCTGCTGCACGACCGTGTCCCATTTAGAGTCGAGCGGCACCTCGTTGGACCACTTTTTCCGGCCCGTGACGAGGTCCTTGGCGAGGGCCGACAGCTGCTTCCGCTCGTCCGACCTGGGCTGGCGACTCGCCATCGGGATCTTGAAGTTGGCAGCGTTGTACTGGTCCTCTTGGCGGCCGACCATTGACGCCTCGCGCATCTCAAACAGTTCGTGGTTCCACGGTTGCAGGTCCTCGGGCGGGCTCGGCCACTGAAACGGCTGCGCGAGCTCAACCGTCATGATTTTGAGCGCCTGCGGCCGGTACGACGAGCCGGGTCGGTTCGCTCGCTCCGCTAGTGGCCGCCCCTTGACGTAGGACCGCACTGTCTTGACCTCGACGTTATAAAGGTTAAATAGGTAGTCGCGGAGATCGAATTTGGTGAATGTGAGAGGGACCTGGAAGCAGGCTTCGTTTGCCGGGAGATGCTCCTTGTGAAGCATGGTGATGATGTGCGTCGGCCTGCCGGGTTTGTTCTCGTTAGCTGCTGTCCTGTCCTGTGTTCCTTGTTCTCTGCTGTCCCGGAACCTGGATGGGGAGAGCATACAGATACACCTGCTTTTGACCAAGCCTGAAGCTTGGTAGCTGGCGTGAGACCGCTGCCTTGACTACCTCGGCCATTGCGATTTTTTTTTCTCTCTGGTTTCGTGACGCTTGGTGCTGCTCGCGACCTCCCTCCTTCGCTGGTTGTCACAACGAAATTGTCCCCGAAAATGTCCATCGCTCTATCGAGGCGTGGCTGGTGACGAATGTTACTAAGCAAAACTGTGGCACCAGCGGCTCAGGCGCGGATTCGCCCGCCCACCCAAACTGCCGTACTCGGTACCACCATGTATCATCATCTTTTGCCAGCCAACCAGCGGAAAATGAATGGTCGGGGATCCTTTATTGAGCGCCCCCGAGACGCCCCCTAGCAATCGTCCCTATCACAAGCTACACAGCTCCTCACCGAATGGAATACTGGCTGGCCGTAAACCTCTCGGCCTAGTGCGACCCGCGTGACCACAAACGTCATAGGTAGTAAATGCTGTGTAGCCAGTGCAGCAGTCATTGTCGTATAACCTTTTCCTGACCTTTAAAAATATCGGTGTGCGCAAGCACTGTTACTACAATGGTCATGCTTCATAACTTGAATCGCCAACATCTTGGTGCCTTTGCTGCCCACTCGCCATGCATCAGGAACTTACGACACAGTCGCGCCCGCTCACGACATGGAACCAGGCCGCCGTTCGTGGCTATATAAGACAGGTCTATTGCTTCGGTACCGATGGCGGCCGTCAGGCGCTGGAGGCGCTGCGCGAGAACCTCGACCAGGCGCTCAAAAGCGTGTGTCTGCGCATGGCTTACATGGCTGGTAGGCTGTCCCTCTCCAAAGAACAGCCTGGTATCCTCGTCCTGCATACTGGCAAAGGCGATCAGATCACTGTCGCAACGTGCGATGCGCGTGGCAACAAGAATCTAGCCTTTTCCAGGCTAAAGAAACTGGGGTTTCCTGCAGGTGCTTTTGTCGGGCCCCTGTTCGATCATGGCGAAACCTTGACTGAAGACGGTCCCCCGGTTCCTGTCGCCCAAGTTCTACTCATTCTAGTAGACGGCGGCATCCTCATGTGCCCCTTTGTATATCACTCCATCACAGACGGGGTAGGGCTCACCCAGTTTCTTTCTGCAGTAGCAGCAGCAATGAAGGGCTTAGACAAGTTTTCGCTGAAGCCGCTGAGCTACCCCAACAAGATTGACATTTCCATGCCATCAAGCCCAAAGGACAAGGGTAAGGACGCCGAGTTAGCCAATGTCTTGAGCAAACAATGTCCAGACCTAAAATTAGTGAAGCCTGGCGCCAACCATGAAGACGACAATACCAGCATGTTTGTTGTGTCTAAAGTCAAATTCGGTGGTATATTCGTATTTGGCCCTGACAAGCTACAGCTAATCAAAGATGCGATCCTGTCTGCCGGCTGCTCCAGAAGAGTGTCTACGTTCTGCTGCCTGACGGCGATTTGTTGGGCCTTCATGACCACCGCACGGCTCAGAACCGTCGGCGCCGCGGACGGGGCGAGAAGAAACGACACCAGATGCCGCGTATTCATACCGACCTGGTGGGGAGACCGCTTGTTCCCAAAGCAGCTCGTCCACTATGCAGGAAATGCCGTGGTGTTTACCGAAGCCTGCCACGGCGCTGCGGACCTGTTCACTATTGCGGAAACGGCCGCGACCAACTTGGCCAAAGCCAGCGGCGCACTGGCGCGGGTGGTGAAGACTGTCGAAGCGGCGTTGAACAGCGTCGACGAAGGGTTCGTCAAGACGCGCTCGGCGCTCTTCAACAGCGTTCGCGACCCGCGGCAGATCCAGTACAGCTTCACGCCGTCTGACCCCACACAGCTCTTCTTCAACTCGTGGCGACGACTGGGCGCCGACATTGAGTGGACGATACCGACCGCCGCTGGCCTGAAGCGGACGACGGCCGATGCGGTGCGCAAGAGTCAGAGCGAGTGGAATGAGAGCGCCGGCCTGATCATGCCAGGACGGCGTGATCAGGAGGAATACGAGGTCGTTCTTAGCTCAGACGCCGACTCTATGAAAGCACTGCGAAACAATCAAGCATGGAAAAGTTGGGTCGACAGGGAGGTTTTTTGAGTGCTGGGCACGTCAGAGGATCGCCATTGCCGCTCACATGTGATTTTCGTTTACAGTTTCATTTTTAGTTGTGGAAAAAAAAAGATTACAGAACTTTTCAAAGGTAGAGAAAGACTTTCATTATATAAAACACATTTCCGCTGTTATGTAAGAAGATTATCCGCTATCCCCCGCCAGCCAAAAAAGGGTAACCCGGGTGCAGCCTGCCCACGTCCGGGCGAAATTGTCCAAGCCTGATGGGAAAAGATCTACTGAACAACTGCCTCGTGTTGTCTGCTGTCCACTGGCCGGGGATGTATTCCCGCTCGAGATAGTCGGAAATCTCCAAGTCCTGCACGCTTCTGGTCCCTATCCATCCTGTGTCCTGCAAGTCGTAAAGCATGGCCCTCCTGTAAATGTTGACATGATGATCAGCAAAGTATTAACGACCGGATAGCAACCGGGATCAAAGGTTATCAGTACGTACATATGGTATCGTCGTCCACACGGAGAGCCCGGCTCCAATGACGGCATCATCTGGTATTTGTGCCAGCCGTTGAAGAAGATCGTTTCCAGGACCGCCTTGCCCGTTAGTCTCTCCCGAAGGCAATGGTAAGTCTGCCTCTGTAGGAGATCCAACGGCGGCCGCTCGTAGCACCCCATAATCTGCAGCGTCAGGGTCCCGCAACCGCCTGTGCGGACATTGTCGCATGGCTGCAAGCTCAAACACGCCTGCATGGTCTCCCCCTCAATAACCAGAAACCACTGATTCTTCGGGCCGGAGTCATTATACTCACTATAGTCTCGACGCCCGTAGAGCTTTGAGCTGACGTGAGTGAGCGCGTCGACATGGAAGCAGCGTATCGACTGCAGCAGGATGGGGTGGTTACGAGGAAAGCCGTTGGAGTAGAGCGTGTCGTGGACGAGCCAGAATGTATCCTTTCGACTATTGCAAGCCATTTTTCGTACATTCAGCAATGTAGGTTGTAAGGATGTTTGATGTCTTTGTCAAATTGTCCGGGATCTTGCCAGGGTTTATATAGAAAGACTGCCCGGATACGGTGAATCATGGTATCACAGAGCCACGGTCCCACGACTCCAGGCTGTATTGAGCAAACAAACGGAAAAAGCAACGACACTGGCTCGGTGGACTCAGACGCCTCAACACAGCGCGCGGTAGACACACGTTATACAAGACAACAAGATGTAGTTGGCCGCCGCTGTGAGACCACTCTTGTCATACACGTTGACGGCATCGTCAATAGGTGAGGGCAAGCACTAATACCCGGCATCATACTCAGTCTTCTTAGTGCATTGCTTTTTAGCAAAGAATTAATTTTCGGAGGACAGCAAGCTATAAGCCGCGTCTGTGTCAGACGAGACGATCGCCTTGTGGGGTAGCCCGATCTGGCAATACTTTGATGTTTCGCAGAGTTTGGCCTTTTCACCTAACATAGGCTCTGTTTCTTTGAACTGACCGTCTAACAAAGCTTGAAGGTAAGCCCTTGAAGATGATTCAGCTTAAAAAAAAAAAAAAAAACATGAGAAATCACTCTCTTTGCCTTTGTGATTTCACAACTGTATCAAAGACATCCGCACAGTGCCTCCATCGCGAGCCCCACTCCGCGATGCAGCTCACTTGAGGCTGCGTCATCCTTCTCTCATGTACAAACAACTACACTAATTGCGAAACGCGAAACCTTTTGGACGCCACGGCGTCAAACTTTTTGACAATGGACGATTCGGATCCAGAATCTGTATATAAGAGCGCAGACGCTGCTGCTGCTTCCGCCGCCGCCGGTGCGCCAGCCAGTACCAACGCAAACGCCGAGGCAGGTGCAGACGACCACGACGACGCTGATGCGCCAAGCAGCAGCGGCAGCGGCAGCAGCAGAGGTCAAAAGGCCACGCCCGCCGCACTCACCACAACCGGCGACATGGAGCATATGTGGGAGCAGCTGGAGCTGGAAAAGTCGCGGTACCCCGGCGCGAGCACCTGGGCGCCCGACGAGGAGCGGCTGTTTGAGCTGCTCTTTTTCCGGCAGGACCTGCCCATCCTGCCATCGCACTGGGAGCTCGACATGAGCGCCGTCCCTATCTCCGAGGCCAATTTTGCCGACGTCGAAAACGCGCCAGTCGTGTATGCGCATTCCACCGACTTTCGAGGTGTGTGTGTGTGTGTGTGTTTGTGTGCCTGTGTAGTGGCTCTGGAAGCCCCGACGCAGCCAATTCCCCCGGACTTGATTCGCAAGAAGCGACTGCTAACGAGAGACCTATTCTTGTGGGGAGGAAACAGCCACCACGGCGCTCGTGCGTCTGATTGAGCTCACCGCCGCCATCCGCACCACCAGCGAGTCTGGGCTACACCACCGCGTGCCGGGCATGATCAAAGACGGGCTGGACCGGTTCCTGGCGTGGGCCGCCGAGGACGGCGGCTACAGCCACCTGCGCGTCGTACCCAACATCATCACCGAGATCGTCGACACCAAGATGCTCGAGGGCGATATCACCGCCCTCCTGCAGGCTCGCATGCGCGCATTAGCCCGACTACAGCGCGAGTTTCTCCGCGCGGACCGCGACCCCGGCTCCTTTTGGAGGGACGTTGCCGCGGCCGTCGCCGAGGGAGGTGACGACGATGACAACAACGATGATGACGATGACGACGGTGACGTCTTTGCGGACGGAAAAAGCCTGCTGCTGCAGAATTACTTGTCGCCGCGGCGCGACAGGCACGCCAACAAGTACCGGCAACGAAACACGCCGGGCCGACGACGACAACATCGTAGCAACGACAACTCGGCGGAGGATGAGCTCGCGCGGGCGCCGCTCGCGCAGACAGCCGCCGACCATTCGGACGCAGCGCCTAGGCGGCGCCGCCCGTTTGCCACGGTTCCCGCGATGGAGCTCGACGAGCTGGCGCAGCCTGGCGATTCCGTGACCGGCCTGCTCTCCTCGTCCGCCAGCGAGCGCGACGGGCTCTTCTCCTCTGCCTCCTCGACCACCAGCCTCGTCAGCAGCCCCAGTCCGGCCGCCATTATCCGGTACCGCCGGCCGCCGCCCGTTGTGTACGGCTTCTTCATTCTCAACAGCTCCGTCTTCATCCTCACCGCCGACGCGTCGCGGGGCGACAACGCGTACGTGAGCTTCCACGTCGAGACTGACTTTCTGGACCAGCGCCAGAGCGTGTGGAACGCGCTGACGCTGGCTATTGTGACGTGCCTGGCGCGCGACGACATGCGCCGGCGCACCGAAGACTTTGAGCCGCTGGCGGCGGAAGAGGACAGTGATCCTGATTTGTAAGGAAAAAGTGATCCCCAAGACGGGAGGCGTGGTTTCTTGTTTTCTCTTTCCAATAGCTTTTCTTCGGGTGTTTTTGCTCGTTTCAGCCAATACCAGTTACTCTGGAGAGTTGCTCATGTGTTCTTATTTACTGTATTTTACAAACACTTCTACGTGATAGATACCCCATGATAGCTAGCTTATGAAGCAAGGAATAGCTCAGACTCGGAAATATGATGATCAAGATCAAAGACGATAATAATCGAAGGTATACAGTGCCTATGTGTGTTGTAGCCGAGTTTTCCAAGCTCTCATCGTCTCATCTTCGTATTTCTTCTCTAATCTATACATGCCAACTCAAGAAAACAAGTGTCGAATGCGTAGGAAGCGGTATGTCGAAGAACCACCCCCAAGTCTATATGCGCCACTCCAAAACGCCAAGCCAAAAGACTGTTCCCTCTTCTGGTGACCACCCAATGAAAATGAAATAAATATTACAAAAAGTGTCCGGCCATGAAATGTACATCAAGCCGTTTCCTCCTCTTCTTTTTTGGAATCAATCGTACACGTGAACACAGGCATGCGACATGAATCGTTGTGTCTCACCCATTCTCTTCGTCCACATCTACCAATATACACAGGTGAGTGGCTCTTTCTCCTTTCCGACTGTCTCGTAAACCAACGCCGGGACATTGATGACCACATAAAGCGCTGTTTCGATGCATGTGTCGTGGTTGACATTACATGTCGCTTTCTTTTTCAGCGGGCATCCAGACGTCGAAATGTCGCAGGAGCCGTTGATACAAGAAAAGCATGCAGCCACTCTGGATAAACGTCCAGACGCCACGAGGCCCCACGCCACGAAACCACCCTCCCAGACCTTCGGTCTTGTAAATGACCTTGAGGCCTGTCATGACAGACGATGTCTCGAGCGGAATGGCGCCAGGGCGTGGGCGATGGGTACTCGGCGAGGACGTTGATATCGAGCGCTTCTGCGGAGTCGGATCCTTGGCCGATGCGGAGCAACTTGTCGTCGCGGACGGATTTACTTGCGTCTGGAGCCGAGTCTTTACAACATCGAGTGGGCACGTTATCACGCCGGCGAGACCGCCCGCCGTCGCACCCGTAAGAAGCTCAAAGCCGACGCCGATATCGCGGCTCTGCTGGTACTTTCGCGCCCACGTCTGAAACTGTTCGTAAAACATGAATTGCAGAGCCGAAAATGGCAGGTCGCGGTATAGCGTAGCCTTGTAGCCATGGAACATGGCGGCCGGACCTTCGGTGCGAACAATGGTGCGCGCGGCGTCGACGGTGCCGCGGTAGTTGTAGCCAGAGCTAAAATGGGGGTTGTTGTATCGCCCTTGCAGCTGGAGTCGAGTCTTGAGAACCTCGGAGGGCACGTATACGACAGAGGCGGCCAAGTCACCGAGAAAACCTAGCATATCTGCAGTTAGCATTGTGGCCCAGCCAGAGACGTTGTGACGTTGGTAAGACGAACCGGCGCAGAGGTAGGAGAGGTGGTGTTGCAGCCCGTGATCTATGAGAAATCGTTTGCTCCATTCGTATGTTCCGAAGAACATGAGTGTTCCAGGGAAGGAGCCGCTGAGCGCAGGAAGCCATCCGCCATAAAGGCCTCTTCTGATTCCTTCTTGCCGTATTATTGTGTAGTATGACGAGGCCAGCGAGCGATATTTCGACGGAACGTTGGGGTCGCCTTGTTGTCGAGTCTTGACGGTATCAAGAGAGTGCATCAGCATGTCTCCAAAGGCACCGCCTAATCCTCCCGCAAGCATTGCCTACGTCATGGGGTTAGCTGACTGTTTCCAACCCTGAGAAGTAGCATCGGCAGCTACAACAAACATACATGGCTGTAGGGCGGCCGCCCCTCGATGTCGAGATCTTCTTGCGGACTCATGGCGTCTGTGCTCACGAGTCCTCCTTTTCCGATGTCGGTGGAATGGCTTGCAGGCTGCCCTGCATGGCGGGAATCGGAGGGCAGGCCGGCGAGGGGTGACGAAGCCGCAGTCGCAGTCGCAGTTGCAGTCGCGGAAGAATCGGGGGGTTCAAATCCGAGACTTTTGAAGCCCAGTGGCATGGCCAAATGACACAGACGACGGGGCGCCTCGGGAAGCCCGCGGGTTGTAGCGTAGGTGCAGTTTTTCCCGAGGTCAAGAAGAAAGAAAGGGTCGACCCGAGTTTTCTGGCGCAAAGAGCGAAAGGGGAAAACGGCTGAGGAAGCAGTGGCGAGATGCAGCGCAAATGACAACAAAATGCAGGCCCGGCGCCGTGACTATGCGATTGACACACTGACGATGAATGCGAAGAGGTTGAAAGACTGGTATTTCGAGCGGCCTAGATGGTTATGTGGATGGATATGGCTGTTTGGAGACGCCGACGGTCTTCGCCTGTGGCTAGTCGAACTTTTTTTTCGCGGCTCCGAGCGCTATCGCCGTAGTGATTCGCTGGGTGGCGCGCCGCGCTGCTATGATTGGGCTGGTGCCTGACGTAGCCACTTTTGGCACAGGTACAGGCCAAAGGATGTATGCCAGTTATAAATTACTAAATTGAATTATATTCAAGATCGAGACGAAGTAATTTTCGAAATATGAGATGCCAAATGGATGCCGCTGAAAAGCACCGGGTTGTCTCAAGGTAAGCCGGCTTCATTGATTGTGCTTGAGTGAAAGAAGAAGACGCCATATCTATACAACTATTATACAAAGGAAATCTCCCATTTTCATATACATATTATGTCGTTCCAAGAATGCAAAATTACCGTGGACCGCGTTCAATCGGTCGCGGTATATGCTCCCACCACTTAACGGCACCAAACTTGTGAAAGGGATACAAGATGTGGGTAACTTTGCCCTCCAGCAGCCGTTTAGACACCGGTCCATAGGTATTGCTGTCTATTGTCGTTCCAGGACGGCCATCTCCCTCTACCCAAATATGCCCCTCAGGTACCTTGACTTTGGGAAACTTGTACGGCGGGCGCGTGTGAACAGTGTCTCCTTCCAGGCCAACTATTCGCTTGATGGCCACGGTTTCTGGGTTGCTTGGACTCCTGCATCGCACGTCAGTCGCCTGTATACACAGACTTCTCGAGCTACACTGAAGAGGAAGAGAGAGCGAAAACAGTTGCGCCATCAAATTTGTTGCCAGCCTTACCTCAGAGTCACCACCATGCCCCTTTGCAGATTCTCTTGCGGCGACCATTTCCATGTGAGAATCACATCATTTCGTAAAGTCGAGTCTTTATTTTCATTAATAAACGGATACATGGAGTTTCCCGACACCACCGCCGTTTCCACAACGTAGTTATTGATCCAAGCCACCGCCGGCAGCCATGTCGCGAAGACGCCCAGTCTCCAGATAGTCAGGCCCACCACGCTTTTTGGCCGCCAGCCGGGCCAACTCTGTATGCGCGCCCATGGTGATGCCATGGTTGGCCGTAGAGGCGTGCGTATCGTCTTTTCGTTGACAAAGTCTGAGGTTGCGCGCTGATGTTGACGTTGGGAACTGAGCTTCACGTCTTGCTGTCTGAAAATGGACGTTCGGCGACTGAGTGGGGCTGACGATGAACCGTCACTGTTGCTACAAAACTGTATCACGGTTTCCGATTCACCTCAGCCATCATCACAACAGTGTGGCTAAACAAAATCTTTCAGATTCAAGTTTTTTAATGCTATTCACCAAATCGTCCCAAGGTTTGACGGTCCTTGGCTACCACCGAGTTTCGGGTGCACAGACTCCGGTCTGTCACCACCAATGACTAGTCAGATATATGCCATGTGCTATTCTTTTTGTGACCAATCTATGTAATTGTCTCGTCGTTGCCGAGATACCCATAGATGCCTTCCCCTTTACCGCCAATGCTCTGTGTCACTTTTCTCTGCCCTCGAAAAAAATTTCAAACTCGCCCCTGCTTTTGGTCTTCATTTACATCGTCTCAGGAATGTTGTCGTCGCTCTCGCTCATGCTCTCGTCACCGCTAACTTCGGCATTTTCGCGCTCCTTCTTTTCCATGAGGGCCTGCAGCTCAGCGTCATCGCTCTCCGTAACTGCCTTGGGCTCCATCTTGACGGTCAGGTTGCCACCCGCCCCCTCAATGCTTTTGCGAATGTCCACAATCGCTTCTTCCAGACGCTTGATGCCGACAGTCTTGTCCAGGCAGGTGCTGGTCAAAACATAGAGCGGTGGCGAAACGAGCTTGACCTTAACTTGGGTATCCTCTGTGTTGCCAGCTTCGGCGGTGCGCAGGGCGGTCTTGACGGCGTCGATACCCTCGTAGCCAAAGCAAGTGACTTCGATATCGGCACGGACCTTGGTTGGTTGGGGGGTCAGGCGCTTGCCAATATAAGACTTGAGCTCATCGGCGACAGGCTGGCCGGGGAAGGTGATGTCCTTCCAGACTTCAGGATTGCTGTAAACCGTATTAGTATCCGCTGAATTTTGCGCTTTAAATGAGCGCAGGCACATAACAACATACGTGATAGATAGCTTGAAAGCATCAATAGCGTGGCCGTACTTGCGGTTTAGAGGCCAGGCGATGCTCTCATACAGCTGCTCGATGGGTACCAGGGTCTTCTCGGCGACGTGGCGCATGATTGAGTGAACCATCTTGCCCTTATTGTATCGTTCTTCGCACTTGATGATGTCTTCGGCAGACACACGACGTTTTGAAAGATCGATATAGCCTATTCGCCATTAGTCTATGACTTCGTCGCGTCGCGTTGCAGCTTCTTTCTAGCGGGCGAACGCAACATACCCTTTTCCTTGTCCACTCTGAGAACGACGACAACCTCATTACGGCCGACTCGAATGAGCTTCTGGATACTTCTGATACGTCGTCGCGAAAGTTCAGAGAGCAGAATCATGCCATCAATGTCGTCGTACTCGAGAAGCTTGACGTAAGCTCCCATTTCGGCGATCTAAATAATGCGATTACCCAGTTAGACTATATGTTGCCCTCCCATCGCGTCTTTTAGAATCACGTCGGTTCCGAGTGATTCGTTTCTGCGCGTCCAGTTCAATCGTTCCAAGGTGGTCTGACGAACCTGCTTGACATTGACCATGACAAAGCTGTCAATCTCCGGGAACTTCTCCTCGTAAAAACGGCAGTTTGTGAGCGACATCTTGGCGGTATTTTCGTCTCCCTGCTGCAGCTGCAAATCCGTTGAAAAGTGCACAAGGTCAAAGGTGTCGTCGAGAGATGTTGGGCACGAGTCTCCTGTGGGGTACGGACTAAGTAGGAGTCACCCTCTTTTTTTCCGGTTGTGCTTTTCGAAGGGAAAGTGGCGCGCGAATAATATGACAAGTCCAGGTACCTCTAGAGTTTGCGCGGAGTCAAAAAGAGCTTGGGCCGCTTTGAGAATATGCACCCCGAGGCTGTTTATCGAAGCGTTAAAATTATAGCACAAAGCACAATTTTGACACACAAATTGAACGCAAAGCAGACCTCGAATGGTGGGGTGGCGGGGTGTGGCTGATGGCAAAGGCGGTCTTTTTCGGCAAAAAGCGCCACAGACAGTTTTCGCTGACTTGCTTTGCGCTTGGGTGGCTACACGTGACTATTGGCCAATGTAAACAGCAACGAGGCGCAACTTGGGATACTTACATCTGGAGCTTAGTATATTTTGGGAGCTCCGAATATAGCATTGAGCATTACCATGGCTCCTGGTAAGTAACGACCCATTCGCCTATCATGGCATTGCTTCGACCGCATCTTTTTCCGTATTCAAAATGCTAATGACTTCGTTCACTAGCAACACAAGTCGAGCTGTCGCCGCCGCCTGGCGACGCCGTATCTGCCGTAGTCTTTGCGCCAGAATCCAGCACGAAGCTACTTGTTTCTTCTTGGGACAAGAATGTCTACCTCTACGACCTGTCCAATGGCGCCAGCGACGCCAAACTGGCCAACACATACGAACACAGAGCGCCTGTGTTGGATGTATGCTTTGGCGCAAATGACGAAGAGGCGTACACAGCAGGCATGGATTGGGCCGTCAACAGGTGCGGTACCTCTCCAACCTCGATAGTCGTCGCGTCGCAAGAGCCAACCCACTAACGAGCATATGTCTACAGAATTAACCTCGCGACTGGCGAAAAAGTCCTCGTCAGCAAGCACGCCGCTCCTGTCCGCAACGTCCGCTACTGCGCCAACCACGGCATCCTCGTCTCCGCTTCGTGGGACTGCAGCCTGAACCTGCACGACACCGAGAACCCCTCCAGCACTCCCCTCCGCGTATCCCTGCCCGGCAAGCCGCAGGCCCTCGCCGTCAGCCCCTCCAAGGTTGTCGTCGCCATGACAGGCCGCATCATTAACATCTACGACATCGACGCCATAAAGGCGCTGTTTGCCCAGGGCGGTAGCGGCGCCGACCTGAAGCCGTGGCAACAGCGCGAGTCCTCGCTACGGTACCTGACGCGCGCCCTCGCATGCATGCCCAACGACGCGGGCTACGCTACGAGCAGCATCGAGGGCCGCGTAGCCGTGGAGTGGTTTGAGGATACGGCCGAGTCACAGGCGCGCAAGTACGCCTTCAAGTGCCACCGGCAGCCGGCGCCCGACGGCGACGGCGACATTGTCTATCCCGTCAATGCGCTGGCCTTTCACGCCGTCCACGGCACGTTTGCCTCGGGCGGCGGTGACGGTACTGTGGCGCTCTGGGACGCAGAGGCCAAGCGCAGATTAAAGCAGTACCAAAAGTCGCCCAACAGCGTCGCGGCGCTGGCCTTCTCCAACAATGGCAAGTATTTGGCCATTGGCGTCTGTCCGGGCTTTGAAACGGGCCAGCAGGACTACAACGGCGCCGGGCAGACGATAGTGATCATCCGGGAGCTAGGAGAGAACGAGGCCAAAGGCAAGGGGTCAAAATAGAGAATATTCAAGCAGAAATGGAGAAGGAAAATAGCATGTGCTTCGCATGACTGATTGGCATGATGTGTTTTATTTGCTTGGCCGAAATGGCGTTCGGGTACTCGGAGTAGGAATGAACATTTACTTAAAACAGAATCTTTAGGGGCCATGTAGAAGTTGATACCCAGATATTGCATATGGGAGAAAAAGCAGTGCGACGTGCACACATGAGACTCGAGCAACTGCAGAAACAACGCATATAGGCAAGCGGCGCCGCGAACAGTCGACAGAAGTTGAGGTACCAATGCTATCAGAATTTCCCAGCCAGAATCTTCTAATCTTCACATTCTTCATGGAAATGTTCCCTGTTCCCACCGATTCATGTGCGGGCGAAAGACCTACTCTGCCACTTTTGAAGGTTTGATAGGCTACAAGAGGGTCAGTAGAACAGCAGCGAGTCGAATATGTGCGGCGTACCTGGACGTCTTCAACGTGGTCATAGTTGCCACCCAGTACGGCGAACTTCACGTTGCCCTGCGCTGTTGGCATCTCCTTGCCCCAGAGAAAACTGTTCGGGAATCCCAGGTCGAACGGTACTGCAGCTTCGATTTCCTTGATATCTCCGGGGCTCAATTGGATATTGAGTGCGTCAATGTTTCCTTTAATGTGCTCAACCTTGCGCCCGCTAAGCACTGGAAAGACGTATGGCGCCTTGTGCATGACATATGCAATGGCGACACCGGTGGGAGCCGCATTTTTACGGATTGCAACAGCCTCAAGTGCAGCAGTGACGTTTGTCTGCACCTCATTATACTCTTGGTTCGCTCTGCCCTCTTGAGCCCTGCGCTGCTCTGCGGTCTTGAACTTGCCACCGCCCAGGGAGCCCCATGGAGCGAGAGCCATTCCCTCAGCACGGCACATGGGGATGATGTCGCGTTCAAAGTCCCGATGAGCTGCTGACCATTGGCCCTGGTAGACGCTGAATTGTCGCATACCATGGTTTCTAGCGTACTCGTTTGCTTTACTTGATATGTGTTAGACAAATCGACTTGTTCGACAGTACAAAGTACAAAGTCACTTACCTAGCAACCCATGCTGGGGCGTCACTGATACCAAGATACAGCACTTTGCCACTGACGATGAGGCTGTTGAGGGCTTGCATCATTTCTGGTATCGAGGTACTGTAGTCCCACCAGTGAACGTAGAGCTACAAAGGCAATGAGCTCAATATTGCAAATATAGATATGCGTTCAGCACTCTCACCAGATCAATGTAATGCGTCTGTAGTTTCTGCAAACTTGCCGCAACGGAGGCATGTAGGCTTTTACTACCACATCCATTCAAATTGATTTTAATGTTTGCGTCGCCTTCTAGAGGTACAAAGGCTGTGGTGTACTTGGTGGCAATGACTAGAATGGCCATCAGCCATACAGCAGTCTGAATAGATCACGTACTTACCCATCTCATCGCGGTTCCGGCGCCTCTTCATCCACTCGCCAAGCCGAATTTCGCTCTCTCCAGATTGGTAATTGTTGGCCGTGTCAATGAAATTACCCCCCTTTGCTCATTAATAGATGTCCTCGACTAAGTCGGTAGCGCGGCGAAACTCACTTGCTCGTAAAAGTAGTCTAGGATTTCCTCCGTCGTTTCCTTGGTACACTCTCCCAACCAGTGTAGCCAGCTATCTCCAAAATTCATTGCCCCTAGGCATATAGGACTGACCCATACAGAAGCGGTCGGCGAAAGTAGCCTGTACCGGCCCAAATTGGATCTCGGTGGTGGAGCAGGAGGGAAGTACACGGGCATTTGGAAGGATGGTGAATCGGTCACTCCCTCTTATTACTCAAAATACTCTGAACAACCGGTGGCTTGCGCACTTTGACAATTAAACTGCCCATGAAAGTAGATAGGAATGTTTAAGAAATAGAGGGGGACATCGCAAGTTATCTGTGACCCGTTAATAGGCTGCAGGTTGCTCCTGCCAGGCAGGGTTGGCGGCACGAACCCAGATCATTAAGCTGCTTGAACAGCATATGTATAGTATTCCGGGGAAGATTATGCACTTTTAAAAGTAACATTAGAGAATGGTTTGCTCTCAAAATGGCATTGTCTAGGCGGAAGTTGTCGCCAATCTTCACTTAGCCAGCAAAGGACGCGATGCCTCGAAAGAGTATGTTACTCGCTATTGCAATAGGCCGTTTGCAATTCGCCGTAGTGTCCGTGCTCGTCTTACCCAAGTCTCCCAGTGAGCCGGTATCGTCAATCACTATCTCTTGAGGAATTTCGGTAATTCAGTGGTAGGAAGGTAGGTCAAGAAAAGTCTGGGACGGAGAGTGGTGATGGAAGCGCTGTGACACAGGCCCTCACAGGCTCTCTACTGGCCCTGCGTGCAGCGGCTTGAACAGCAGCGACCGCCTACAGCCTCCCATCGAGGGAAATCAACACACTTAACCGACATTCAATCAATTACCAGATTATAATCATGTGCAAATTAGGCTATACGCTAATTTCTTAACCCATCAATTGATTATCGACTTTTTTATACCAGCAGGCTCGAGCTTTACTGATTGATAGTGTGGTGGCGCTTTGCCGAGGAAATGCCGCCCCAGAATAATTGTCTGCTTTCATGCTGCTCCGCGGCATCTCCATCAGCCCATCTTCTTCACTCGACGCGGCCCTGGAAACAAATCATCTAGGGCCAATTCAAACGCACGAACATTCGGTGGTCTTGCACCATGACTCGCCACGCCAATGGCTTCCTCAAGTACCGCGCTCTCTAAGACGGCCATCAATACCCTGCGCGGCGTCCTGTTCACGACATCCTTCTCCATCGTCCTGCTCGCCGAGGAGCGCCGCCGCCGCATCAAAATTGCCCGTGCTGCCGTCGATAATGCCCGTAGAATACACGCCGCCAAGGCCAACCGTGGTGCTGCGACTACTGCAATCATCGAACCATTCGACCTGGATGCTCACCTAGCCAGGCTCGAAGGCGAGTCTTTCGTCGCCCAGTCGCACACGCCGAGGAAACCGTACGGCCGGGAAAGACGAAGAGGGATTGAGGATTCAAGCGTCTCTTACACTACTGTCGCCACCTCAGAGTCTCGCGCTACCGTGCCCGACGCGCCATCCCGAAACATCCATGATGAACCCATTTCTCTCGTTCGAATTGCCAGGGCCATGGCCGCTGGACAAAGGTCGAGCGATATTTCGACAGTCAAACGTGCTACGGAGTCCAGAAACAACCAAAGAAAGCACCCCACCGTCGAAAACAAGACGGACATTGTGGTTCGAATGTCGAGCCAAGCTTCAGCAACTACACAATCAGTTAAGGTCCCGAGCCTCTCGGCACAGAACAACGCAGTTCTGCCCAGCAAATATCTTGAATACGAGCATCTTATAGTAACGCCACGAGATAGCAATGAGGCCTCTACCGAGTACAACGAGGCTGTGGCGGTTCTAATCGAGGCAGTTCAAGCGCTACCACAGAAACCCAACACAAATGATGAGCAGTCGCATATTTTTAGCACGGCAGTAGAAGCTCTTCAAGGTGTCGAACACCATGGTGTCACCCGACGTTCATTTCGAGAGATATTGAAAGATATCGTCGTGAACCTACTGAAATATTCTGTTGATATGACTGCAGATCAAATGAGAGCAGTGCTGAAGGCGTCGCTCTTTTTGAAGCGATCGCTGGTCACAATTTTGACTCGATTCTTGGCTTGGATGGACAATTACCGACCGGAAGATGTCGTCCACGTCTCGCGAACTATCATTGCATTTTTTACGCAACCAGAGCAGGCCTTCGTTTGGAAAGATGGACAGCTTATTCATGAGCTCATCAGAGTACAGAGCACTCGCTGCGCCAAGCTCGCAATCAAGGGATACACCAACCTAAAATCTGCCGGGCTATTCGCAAGAATTGACATACCAGAGCAGGAATATGCCATTAGAAGAGAAGCGGTCATTGCAGCCTGTGCGGCGGAGCAGACGCGTTTCATCGACGATGAAATGATTGTGCTGCGCCAACTGAAGGGTGATGATGTCGTCGAGGCAGACTTTGGGCTACAAGCTGCCCTGATGGCTCGGCAGGTAACTCTCGGCGCCTGCGACACGCTATTCGACTCGCTACGAGACCTTGAGAATTGCAAGAATCCCTCATCCACGGAGTTTCAGGGGCATCTTCACCACCTCACAGACCTCTTCGCAAAGGCACACGATGCTGAGCAACTCGGTCAGTGGCTCAAATACGTCGTGAAAACATATGGCATGGCGCTGCAATCAGACTGGGTCTTTTCCGTGCTGAATGAGTATGCTTATTATCATGACATCGAGGGGATGATGGTATGGATGGAATTCTGTCTCGGGCATGGCCTCAAGGTCGATCGCAACTTTGTCACTGAATGGAAGAAGACTTGCCGAGGACATTTGCGGTTCAGCAAGGACTATCTGCAAATGTTGTGGGAAAGGCTCGCAAAAGTCATGTTATTACCGCAATTAGAGGGTGACACCTATCAGGTCAAGCAGCGTCAAGGAGATTTAAGCACACACTTGGCTGAATTGACGAAAAAAAAGCTTTGGGGCAAGGCATGTCTTGCATTCGAAGCAGCGCTGTCAAAGGATCGAGAAATTTGCGACTTGAGCTTGCAACTGGCGCTAGAAGCGCAGGTACGAGCAAGCCAAGGTAACGCTGAACCAGCTTTGCGACTGTTGCAGCGTGTGCGCGGCTACGGAAGAGACACGACCATTGCACAGCACCGGTTTCTTGGCAAAGAGATTGGGAGGAGGCCAAGTGGCGACATCAAGACACTACTTTTGCAGGCGGTAGAATGCGGCTGCATTGTGCCGGCCGATATTTATACGCTTGCTGTGAAGAAAGTGGTGGAGAAGGATCTCTACGCAGCGCACGAAATCTTACAGCTGGGCGTCAGGCAGCTGGGCCACGGCAAGCTCGCGTTCAACGGACATTGTTTCGCGAAACTGCTCTTTATCCACATCGCGACTCACCAATACGACGCAGCGCAGCAGCTTGTGGCCGAATTTATTTCTAATCGGCCGTTTTGGCACGGCACGAAGCTATGCAAGGAAAGCATCAAGTTTGGCATAAGAGAGCTCACAAAGCGGGTGGCCACGAGGAGGGACGCAGGCGAGTCGAGCGCTGACGACAGTATGCTATCTTGCGAGCTGCAACTGACGGAAGCACTGCAGCAAGCACTGGATGCCAATGTCGAGAGCCGTCATGTGGTTGGATACCAGGCCACGATTGCGGACATGATTGTGCAGCTGGTGGAGGAGGCTGCAAACAGAGACGAGGCCGTCGCTGCGCGAGAATGGCAGAAGAAAAAGCGCGCAGACAAAGCTGCCAGGAGGTTGGCATTTAGCCCACAGACGAAGCCAACTTTGCAAAACGGGAACATCGCGCATATCAGCGTGGATGCCTAAGGGCTCAATGAGAGCCAATGTACATATGTCATTGAGTGCGACCAGGCCGAGGTCTGCACCTGTACACTACAATAAATGGGGTTCAATCTTTTGGTTATAAGGTTTAGAGCAGATACACGCAGTACAGATATCATATTATTTGATGGATTACTAGAGAGGGAAATGGTGACGTGATGAGGCTGTTTAGCGGTACACCAGTGGCAAATAAAAATCGCTACGCTTTCCTTCCTTTTCTCCTACCTCGATCAATTCGATTGAATTTGACAAATTACAACGTACCCTATTTTTAAAAAGGCTTTCTACTCTGCAATCATCTTGTAGGTGCAGTTGGGAGTTGCATTTCATCGAGACCGACAAAGTAGCATCGGAATGCCGGCAATACGAGTACGTCGGAACGATCCGAAAACGAGCCGATGCATGCGTCTAATGGCAAATGTTGGCATCGTACTCTGTGTACCAGTAGCGTTATGCTGTGCATCTAAAACACAAAGAGGAAAGAATGGCATGTGAAGATGGTATGAGAATACAGCAGCATGTTTCCACTATGTCGTCCGAAAATGCCTGATTTTTGCATTTCTTTTTTTTTTACTTTTATTAAATAAAATCAAAGAACAGCTATTCCATGTCTCGGGGACCCTTGGTTTCGTGATGGCAGTCGCCCCACCAGGCACCTACAGGCTACGCTAAATACAACAAGGCTGCAGATTGCAGGCCTAGACTTCCAGGAGCAAGATCAAATGAGAGGCGAGAGCAGCCAACGCTGTTGCGCGGATAATAATTACTCGTAAATGAATTGGTGCAAAGATTGACCCAATCAGAAAATTACCATTTGCTTCCACATAAAGATCCCATCTTGAAAGAAAAACAGGCCATGACCCGATTGCCCGAGTCCATCAAACGCCACCGTAAAAAGGGGGGGGTACCTGGAATCTGCCGATTGACCGCAGTCGCCACCAGTATTCGTATGCACTGCAAGGGCCATTGTGGCTGGCCCGCCCACTTGGTTCAGACAAGGAAAAAAATCCAAGGGCGACGCATCAGTTCATCGACCCCCCGTTTCCACATGCTTATTCTCTCCATTCTTGGCCGGAGCATTGTCTTTTGTTGACTGCGGTTTCCTCTTCCTAGACTGACTAGTTCTGGTTTATTTTATCATTCTTCTTTACACCGCCAGAGTCAACTCTTTTCATCCCTACCTATGCCTTGACACACCACGACACCGCCGTAACGAACCAATCTACGAGACGCAATTCGCCTACCGGAGCAGCGAGCAGCGGCGACATTCACACCTAACTTATCACATATACTCGCCGTCATGGCTACCGATGCACTTGAGGCACGCCGCCTGCAGCGCGAAACTCACCACGAGGCCGATGTCGTTGTCGTCGGTGCCGGCGTCTTTGGCTGCGCCGCCGCCTACGCTCTCGCCGAGCAGGGTCGCTCCGTGTTGCTCCTCGAGCGCTGGATGCGCGAGCCCGACCGTATTGTCGGCGAACTGCTGCAGCCGGGCGGAATCCAGGCCCTAAAAAAGCTCGGCCTCGGCCACTGCGTTGACAATATCGACAGCATTACCTGCCGCGGCTACAACGTTATCTATCAGGGGTCCGACGTCCTCATCCCCTACCCAACAATGGACGACCACGGCGGGGTCCCCCACCAGTGGTCCGGCGCTGGGAAAGAGGGCAAGCGCGAGATTGGAAAGGGATTTCACCACGGGCGCTTCGTGATGCAGCTGCGCGAAACGTGCCTCGCGCACCCCAACATCACCGTTCGCGAGACTGAAGTGATCAAGATGGTGCGTGGCGAGCACTCGGATCATGTCCTCGGCGTCGAGACGCGCACGACGGATCACGAAACGAAGAAGAAGACGGCCGACTACTTTTTCGGCCAACTCACCATCATTGCCGACGGCTACGACTCTAAGTTCCGTAAAGAAGTCACTGACACACAGCCAGTCGCGCGCTCCAAGTTCTATGCGCTCGAACTCAAGGACGCCGACCTTCCCGCGCCCGGCTACGGCCATGTCATTATCGGCGACGCCTCTCCCACTCTGCTGTACCAGATTGGCACGCACGAGACGCGCGCGCTGTTTGACGTTCCGCACGGCATCCCCGAGGCCGCTCCCGCGGCTGGCGGCGTCCGCAACTACCTCGCAAACCACGCCATTCCCGCGCTGCCCGCGTCGGTGCGGCCTGCCGCCCTCGCGGCCCTCGAGGACGGCAAGCTCCGCAGTATGCCCAACAGCTGGCTGCCACCCACGCGGCAGGTGCCCCGCGGCATGGTCGTCCTCGGCGACGCCACTAACATGCGGCACCCGCTCACCGGCGCCGGCATGACGGTCGCCTTCAACGACGCGGTCCTCCTCGCGGAGCTCCTCCACCCGAACCGCGTGCCCAACCTCGCCGACGACAAGGCCGTCCAAGCCGCGCTCAGCGCGCTCTACTGGCGCCGCAAAAACTACACCGCCATTCTCAACGTTCTCGCACAGGCCCTCTATGCGCTCTTCGCCGCAAACGATCCCCAGCTGCACGCCCTCCGCATGGGCTGCTTCGAGTACTTTCGGCGCGGCCACACCGACGGGCCCTGCGGCCTGCTCGGCGGCATCATTCACCGGCCCGTCGTCCTCGCCTACCACTTCTTCTCCGTCGCCTTTCTCGGCATCTGGATGCACGTCCTCGAGACTGTCACCAGCGGGCCGGGACCGCTCGGCGTGCTAAAGTTGCCGCTGGCCCTCATCGACGCCGTCCTGATCCTGGCAAAGGCGTGCGTGGTATTTCTACCGCTGATTTGGAGAGAAGGGTTCCGGTGATTTATGTGCCCGACGTTGCATCAAGCCGCTGTCTTTTTATTAAACCTGTACATTTTTTTAGAAAGCATATATTGACATAAATTCCGCCCTTCTTTCTTTATGGGCAGGGTCAGCAAAAACGAAAGACGTTAGTCGATTGTTGGGCATTACGCAGGCGTTTGTTTGTTTGATGAAATTTCTCCCTTCAAGTCGTCTTTTACATTAGAGATGGTGAGGCGGTTTTTATACCCGAAACGCTGGTTGTCTTTTTCGCCATGTACTTGAGGATTGAACACGGGCATGTGCAAACACGAAAGCATGAGCAAAAAGCATGGTCTATTGGGCTGTTTTAGAATAAGCTAGAATCCCTCCTCTATATAATAATTAATGCAATTCGGCACATCCATCTACATCAGCACTAGTCTATCCCTTTCAGCTCGTTGCATATGCAGTCTTTTTTTTCATAGCTGGCATCATTCTCTCACCTCACCCGGGCCCGCTGCCCTACGTCAACCGCCGCCTGTACACACCCAGCATCCAGCTCGCGCGCAGCACCGCCAGGCCGACGGCCATCTTGACGCTGTCCCGCACAACGTGGAGCTTGCTCCCGCCAACCTCGTGCCACTCGACGGGCACCTCGGCGACCTTGATGCCGGGGCTGGCGCCAATGACGCCGCCGTCGGCGCCGCGCAGCGGGCTCGCGGGCGCCGACTCGGCGAGCATGAGCATCTCAATGTCAAAGATCCAGCCCTCGGCGTGCATGTAGGGCACAATGTGCGGCAGCGCGGCGCGCGAAAAGAGCTTGAAGCCGCACTGCGTGTCGCGCAGGCGCGACGTCGCGGGCGGCGTGAGAATGGTGAGGACGAGGTGGAACGAGCGCATGAGAAAGTTGCGCAGGGCAGAGCGCTGTGTTTGTTTAGTCAGCTGCGTCTCTCGAAACATGGATCATGTGCCAAAGATGACAATCAACGTACCTTGACTACTGCGTCGCTGCCAACGAGATGCGCGCGACTGCCAATCGCCACGCCCCGGCCCGAGGCGTCCGTGACCTCGTCGCAGCCCTCCATCAGCTTCCCGACGTCGCTGAAGCGCGTAGCGCCGTCGGCATCGGCAAACAGCACATGGTGCCCGCGCACGTGGCGCAACCCGTGCGTCACGCCGCCTCCCTTGCCGCGGTTCCTCTCCAGGCTCACGACGCGCAGCACGTCGTGCAGCTTCTTCTCGTGCGCGAACCGCAGTGCCACGTCCACCGTCTTGTCGCTGCTGCCGTCGTTGACGACGATAATCTCGTAGCCCGACGCGGGGCCCTCGGTCTGGGACGTCGCGCGGCGGCGGCGGTGGTGCTGCTGCTGCTGCTTCCGGGGACTCGACGTTGTGGATCCGGGACGGCCAATGTGCTCGTCGAGGTAGGCGACGGCTTCTTCGAGCGTCGGCAGGATGCGGTCCTCTTCGTTGTATGCGGGCAGCACGACGCTGAGACGAAGCTCGGCCGGGTCAATGACGCCCGCGTCAGGAATCGTCGTCGGGTCCGTGTCGGTGCCGCCGGCGCTGCTGCTGTTCCGCGTCGTCTCGCTCAGCCGCCGCTCGGCGAGCCAGCGGTCGTACCAGCACGGCAGCGGGCGGGGTGTCGTTGCGGTTCCATCCGGGCTGCTGGTAATGTATGTCTTTTCCGAAGGGAACGGCGCACGGGGCTTGGGCGCAACGAGGTGCAGCAGGGCAAAGAGCTGAGGTCGTCAGCATCAAATGGGGCAAAGGCTTTGCGCCTGGAGGAGGAGGGGGGGTTGCTGTACGAACCGACAAGAGCCCAGCGAGAAGGAAGATGACGAGAAAAACAATGAGGATGTAGACGGGTGTCGCTCGAATCCAGGCCATTAGCGGATGCAGGATGCGAGCCGCAAGGTCCGTCGGTGCGGGAGCCATCGCGGGCGTGGGCGTAGGTGGTCTTGGTGCCCCCCCGGTGTTTTGGGGGTAAGAGGTGCACGGATTCGGATTTCAGACACGCATTGATATTGTTCAAAGAAAGGAAACACGATCAAAAGAGTAACGGCGAAAAGGGAGAAACTCAATTTTGCAGTAAGGCAGATCAGTAAAAAAAAATTGGAAGGAAAATAACACGTTGTGGCTGAAGAAGATGTGAAACAAAGTGAATGTGGCCTTGCAGCTGTCAAGCTTAGGAGCAAACGGCATACGTGGTGAAGAAAAGACGTTGCGTAGGTACCTGGCCGGTGCGGCGCATGTTGGTGACGTCTGCCGCCGCGTGCGCCGCAGTGGAGTGCGGCAACGCTACCCTGAATCTGAATACGACATGGGCGATTGCAACGCGCAGGGTGCAATCGAGTCCGGGTAATGAGTCTGGCGTTTTTTTAGGGCGGGGGTTCTTTTTGGTAGAATATGTCTATTATCCGTTGTCGTTGATTGGAGAACACGCATGTTGCAGCGCTTTGCGCAACTGGTCAAGCTCGAGATGGACATTTGCTCAATGTTGACCGACTGACTCGTCTCAAGCTGTCGCGAAAACATTGACCGGAACTATGTAAAGGTATATTCAAAAGCATACAAGGATCGTATCGACTTCAGCTATATGAACAAACACCACGAATCATCTGTTGTAGAACATGTCTTGCTTGTAGCTACATATGGCTGTCTGTATATATTCAACATCTACTACACCGTCAAATGGCATCATCCATCGCCATCTTAGAAGAAAGTCTCTATGTAACAAGAAAAGACAGTGTGGTCGTAAAAGTCGTCAAATTCACCGCCCATAACTGGCCTTTTGCCAATGCCTTTTAGCGTTCCACGTCACGGCTCGGACCGTCGGCGTGGCGGACGTGCCCACCACATTTTGGTGGGACATGGCCCTCATAAAAGTCGTGCAGGAGGGAATTGTGAAGCGACAATCTCTCGCAAGATGTGCTTCAATGTAAACAAAGTAATACATGCAGTGTAATGATTTATGGAAAACTGTGACAAATATCATATAATGCTGGTGAATCGGCCAATATTCGGATGCTTATGCCGTAATAGGCGACGACTTGGAGAACGACCAGCGCGTCTTTTTTCCCTTGCCAAGCTTGCCGCGGCTAGACTTTGAATCGTACGAATCGGGCACCGGCTCAGGAAAAATGTTGACCAAGTTGTCGTGGGCAAGCGGCGGCGGCATCTCGGAGCGGCTGTGACGCGCAAAGGTATTGGAAACAATGGTCTCCATTTCGGGCTGCTGCAGCTGAGCTGCAGGCGTCGACGGATTGTGCTCCTTGACGCGAGCATGATACGTGGCATAGCCGCCAGAGGGGGGTGTCGTGGGCGCGCTGGTAAAGTCGAGACTGGGGCTCGGAATTGAAAAGTTGCCGAGATTCAAGTCGCTCGAGTTGCGGGCGGCCGGTGGCGCAACGGCTGTCGTTGGAGATGCCTTGGGCGTAAAGCCGCCAAAGCCGGGGCGCTGCTGTGAGGAATTTTGGCGCGCAGCGTTGCTGGGTTCCAGCTTGCTGTCGCGCGGGGTCATGGCAGGTGGCGGCTGGTTTGGCGTCGTGGGAATGAAGTTGAAGCCTCTCATAGACGGCGGCGGCGGGCGTGCATCTCTTGTGGCGGGCTTGGTGCTAACGGGTACAGCTGTCCTATCGGAAATGTCGGAGGAGGTGCGGCGGTGGCTTGGGTGCAGACGGTGGGCATAGCCGGAACCTGGTCGGGGAGACTCTGGGGCCTGCACTTGTTGAGCGGCCGTGGCCGGCAGAGATTGCTGTGGCGGGATTTGCTGAGATGCCTGCGTCACAGGTGGTTGCGCATCGAACTGGACCTGAGCCTGCTGGGCACTTTGAAGCTGCTTCGCTTGCTGCGTATGCTGAACCTGGTGATATGTCTGCAGCTGCTGGACCTGCTGGGCCTGCTGGACCGGGTGGTATGTCTGCTGGGCCTGGTGGGCCTGAGGGACCTGCAGAGTCTGTGATTTCTTTGGGTGATTGGAGGACATGGTCACCATTTCAAGTTCATCGTGAGAACTGTTGGATGCTCTGGAGCTTCCTTCCGGTGTCGGATCTAGCCACTAGGGTCAGCAAGGTCAAACCGCTATGAGCTAGAGCTCAAGCTCACCTTTGCTAACAGCGGTGCTGCTGCCGCCTGAAATATCATAGGCGGAAAAGGAGTGTCTGCTGACCTCCTTGCCCTTCCAGGAAGACGGGCGAGAGCGAACGGCGTCAGGCATAGAGTAGACGACCTCGCGGCCGGGTCCGTAGGGGTGATGAACGCTGTTGGAGCTGTAGGCGCGGGGCATGCCGACGTGGGGTGTGGCCTCGCCGTTGGGGTAGGAGACGTAGGAGAGGCCGCTGGAGACGCGCGGCATAGGAGAAATGGTGGTGGTGGAGGGCATGTTCATGGAGTAGCCAGCGGCGGCCATGGCGCTGCGCCTTCGATTTTGCTCGACGATGCGGGGCCTGTCGTTAACTTCTCGCCAGGCGGGTGGCGCCGAGGAGATGGCGTCCGAGGCGGCATGTGTGGGAACGTGCCGGTATGGTGTTGTTTGGGCATCCTTTTTCTTTTGCTCTGCGAGCTTTGCGTTGTGTTCCTTGGCCTGTTGGCGGCTCCTTCGCAAATGGGAGAATATGGACATGGCGAAAAAGGCGTGGTGGTGATACGAGGTGGAGGGTGTCGTGTAGCCGTTTGATGCGTCGAGGCGGCTTGCTGACGCTGCGCGGCGCCCGTATAAAAAGGTAAATGTGCTGGCGGATGGCGGTCGTATGTCTTTTGCTTGCGATATAAATTGAAGGAAGAACGAGATATATATCGCAGGAAGCAAGACCCTGTCTCGGCGAGAGGCTGTGCTGTTTTATTTGTCTCGGCTTTGACCTGTTGCAGGTGGCCAGGGGAGTGGTGCGATGTGGTGCGGTGCGGTGCGGCTGGTGGGTTGGTGCGCTTGGGGGTGACGTTCGAGGATGCAAGGCGTGCAAGTCGAAAATAAGAATAAAATAAACTCGTGCTACACGGTGGAAGAGACCGAATCACAGACTAGAGTAGGCCTGCATGTCTGACGAGAAAAAGAAAATGCGAGAACGATGTGTTGCAGCAAGGCGAGGCCAAGTTGTGGGCGGGCAGCAGTTGGCAGGCAGCAGGGTAAAGTGAAACCCGGGAGTGTGGAGGTGAGGTCCAATTGCAGAAAGGGACAGTAGCTAGATAGAGGAGATGCGGAGGACAGATATGAGAAGATGTGCAGGGCAGATGGAGAAGGAAATATGGGCGAGAGAGATATTGTGATGAAATTCGAGAGGAATAGGACGGGCAAGAAATATATTCGAAAGTGAGAGGGCGATGGGAGGGAGGATATATTAATGCGCGGTGGATTGGAGAATCGTTGTACGTGGGCAAGGTACGGACAACAATAGATAGCCAGGTACTCTGTGCTCTTGCTTTGTGCTCTGTGCTCTGTACCGTGTACTGTGTACTTTGTACCGATCACTCAGAATGCACAGGTATAAGGTACCGGCAACTGATAACTCTTGACTGAACTTGTCTTGGTCCAGTAGTGCCAGAGTGCCTTGTACGAGGCGTAGACGGTGGCGTGGCGTGGCACCTGGAGGAGCAGTTGCGCGGCGGGCTGCGGTGGCTTGAGACGCAGCTGGAACTGGAGAGTCGCAATTGGACGGTACGAGCAAAGCAATGTGGTAATTAGTTTGCTGGTGAGCTGCACCGGTTTTGATGGCAAGCCAGAAGCCGGGCAATGGGGTGGGAGATGGTGGGCTCAGGCTGCTTTGAGTAGTGTGTATTGTCGGGTTGTAGAGAAAAAGTAGTGACTGCACAGTGGACGACTGGCTGGGTATTAGTTAGACTGCAGTCGTATCGTTTTGATGAATTTGAATCTTGTTACGTGTACACACCGACGAGGAAACCAGGCTCCAGAATCCGAGCGGGAGGAGCGGGAGGGCGGAACGGGGTGCGGCTCGTATGGTGGCCCAGGGCTTGTCTGGCAGCCAACGCAAGGCAAAAGTTTGTATGGAGGGAAAATGAATGCGAGAAGGGCGTGATGCGATGGTTTTAAAAGCTAAATGATCATGTAGTCGGACGCAGAGGAAAAAAGATAATGCAAAAGAAGAGGGGCGCAGAAAATTGAAGCAAAAAGGAGGAGAGGCGGAGAATTCTGTCGAGCGAGGTGTTGCGGACGAACTCGTTAATAAGAGGACAAGGCAAACGAGAACAAGGCAAGATAAAAAGAGACTGCCGTTTGCAATTGTTCATTCGTTATAACAATACGGAATACCAGTCGCAAGTTAATGATTACCGTGTGAGATGGAGAAATCAGCGCCATTTTTAGCCCAGCGCCCTATGGCTTGCCCCATCTCCCACTAAAATTTGAGCTGGATTAGTGGAGTTTCCGAAGTGAATGCCGCTAAAACTCGCCTAGCTATATGTGTAAAACGCACTAACTGCACGCCATGACAATGCCTTTGTTAACTCGGTTCCTCTTGATGATACAAATATGAAAAAAAAAAAAGAAAAAAAAAAAAGAAGAATTGATAAAAAAAAAAAAACACAGACTTTTCAATCTCGAGGCCAACTTGCGACAGGGATCCCTGGCTCAGCGATCCCTGGTTTGATCAACACGATGCGTCCAAGAGGGGCCGCTGCCAGCAAAGCACTGGACCCGTCAGGGACAAGGCAGCACAGTCCCGTATCGCTGGATCTTCTCTTAATAAGAGTCGTGACAGGGAAACAAGAGCGAACAAGATTGAAAACAAGCCAAATGTCATCCTACCAAGCCTTTCTTGCCTTGCCTTGTCCGCTCGATAACCTACCCAGCTCTCGCATGTACAGCGTCCACTCCCCACACGGCTTCGCCGCTTTAGTTATTACCTACACAATCAACCATAACTTCATAATTCGGGGCTTACTTTCCGCCCTATACACCATACCTCCCAATAGCTTATCTATCCATACTGTGCCATATTGAAATGCATAGACGACGTCCTAGCTGCATGCCTCCAAGTAATCCTCCTGACCCCCCCTCTTCCCCAGCCCAGCCCAATACCACCTCGTCTTGGCCTCACCAATTGCAGGCCAAGCCAGAAGCACCGTAAAAGGCCCTTGAGAGCTGGGGACGTGCGGCTTCGCTTCGCAGCCCCTCTTCCTTTAAAATATCACCGAGTAGCGTCCACTATCCAGCTCCGGCTTCGAAACCTGTATCAAACAACCAAATATGTCGATATGCGAACAAATATAGAATGTAAAAGTCTTGAGTAGGTCGTGATGCCCAACACGCACGTCTTTCGACATGGGACACCATGCAAGTCTCACATTTCTACCCATTTTATTGGCACTTTTGCTATTTATTCTTCTTCTTCGTCTTCTTCTCCTTTCCTAATCCTGGAAGGGCTGAGCACGACATGCATGCATGCATACATGCCTGCGTCAGACGTTGGGCGTTTTGGCTTTAGCAGTCACCACAACTCGGCATTCTCAGCTCCTCGACCTCCACACCTCTCGTCACTGATAACATCATTGACTGCTCCAAAACCTCTCCAAATACGGGAATAAGTCTGCAGCGACAGCCACTGACAGGCGCACGCCATCGACATTCTTCTTTCCTTTATTGACCGTGTCTCGGCTTCAGTTTACCCACCAAAAGCTTTTCTTTTCTGGCAAAGTTGTCCGCAAGGTTTTAGCTCGCCTTGTTTGCACACCGCTTACGGCGCGCTGATGATGGCGCAACAAGAAGCCTTTCCCGCGGCACCTCTCTTCACTAATCAACGTGACCCTGCGCCCTATCATCAAGGTGAGGTTGGGCGCACCGGCCGGGATGGCGTCGTCGCCGACGGTAGGCTGGACCGCCACAGTGGGTTTTGGGCCGCCGCGTATTTACACATATGCAGATTGCTCAGCCTGGCTGAACTCGATGCCGTCAATGTTCGGTCCGCGGAAGCAGCACCGCGAAGACTTTGCGTTTATTATTATGATTATTATTTCATTTAATTTCGTGACCTGCCGCCTGTATAATACCGTGCATAAACAATGAGACATGCTTGAGTACTAGGTAAAGAAAGCCATGACGCCACTCGCTCGGTTTGACCACTTCAGGCGCGGGGCTGTCGACGCCGAGTATTCCGTGCACAAGTTGTTACATACGAGATATTCAGACAAATGGACCCCTTTGATCTGGGACCGGCCCCGTGTCAGAGGAAGAAAAAAAGAGGAAAAAAAAAGGCTGGGCGAAGCTCGTATTGACAAGGGCGATATGATCTGGGATGGGCTCAGCCGTTGATATCAGTAGTTAATAAGCGGGTCAGGGTGGACCAATTCGTTCAGACGGGCGGCTTCTCTTGTGGAACTTTTCGGCGTCGACTCAAAAAAGTTTATCTTGGTCAACACTCTAGGAAGAAGAGAAGCGGGATTGGCTGGACCTGATCGTCCGATACAGAGACAGACCTTTGCATGCACGGTTTGCCGAGCGTTTCGCAGTTTTCGTTTGAGTTCTGGCCAGACTCGTCGTCCACGCATGAAACAATTACCCCTCCTCTCCCCAGCCGCATTGACAGAGGAACTCGCGACGAATCACATACACTGGCAACCTGAGCTATCTGGGGCGCTGGCGCTTGTCTTTCAGCTTGTTCGGAGACCGTTTCTTGTCTTCAACAACGCAGAGCAATGCGATTCCACCTAATCGCGCACTGACGCTGGTTGGGGTTAGTCCTGCATGGTGGCGGCTCTAGGCTGGTTTCGGCTCGGACAAGGAAACGGGAAAGCTTCTACAGGGGGAAAAAAGAAGAAGAAGAAGAACAGAAAGGGAATGAATTCAAAAATGGCTCCGTGATGTAGAGCCTGACGAACTTGGGCTGAAGAGAAAGCCATGCTGGGTTCGTCAACAAACCCTTGGCTGGTTGGTGCCACGGCGTGGTGATGCGGTGCGAGCCCAACAGTGGCATCCGAGGCAGCCGCCGCCGCCGCCGCCGTGTGCGATGATGGGGAATGGGGGTATTCACATGTGCCATGTGTCTCATTGAAGATGGTGACGGGGTCTCTTTTTTCATTTCACTCACATATTTGTGGCTCATGAGCGGCCTCATTCCGCCCAACCTCAGCTATTGAAGGTCGTGAAGACGCTCGGTTCCGAGGGCGACGCACATCATCAGCCTTCGATGCAGCCACCCTCCTCTGTTTACAACGCGCCACGCGTAGACTTGGCGGCGACTCCGATGATGCCGAGACTCTGAAGATGGGCGAGAGAAGCATCCAGATAGGAAAAAACCGTGCCATGAGGCTGGTTCTGCAAGCCGCATGCAGGCATCGCCGCCACAGCTCCAACAAGACGTCGCACGTGGACGCCGCGTTGCAGGTCCGTCGTGCCAATGACAATTTTGTACCAGCATGGGGATGTTGGTAAAGACGTGATTGAGGGCGGACATTGGCTGTTGGCTAGAAGTTGTTGAATATTGGCTCAGCTGGCACCGCCAGATACGTCCTGGACGCGGGCACCGGCCGGGGCAGGATGATACGTGGTCTGCACATAGTGACACCTGACGAATAGCGGAAACTCGAAAGCGGTAAGCCGTATCATTATATCATGGTATGGCATGCGTGCTAACTTGGTAAGATTGTTTTACCATAGTTTGGCGCGCGTGATAATTTGGCAAGCTTCTAGACATCTAGACTCAACTTGTACATTTTCCTTTGGACTCGGTGCACTTGATGGATGTTAAAGAATCGGACCGAGAGTGTCGTTCGTATCTTGAAATACCTGATTTAATTAATTGAGGTATGCTTCCGCGTAGCACCAATACCCCGTATTACCTTTTCTTTGACCAGCCGTCATGGTCCTACACTGCACGGCGTACATGGCGGTCGATCGTGGGGTGCGTGCGTGGTGCTGAGCGTGCGTGGTGCTAAGCGTGGGCTGGGTTGTACAGTGTAGGCATTGTGATGCAGAGCACATGGCTAAAAAAGGACCAATGCACTTGTTTTTGGGGGCAGATTGACATCTCATGCAGCTTCGCAGATCTGGTTCGGTTCGTTGGCATGGGTTCTTTTCCTTGGTTCATTCCATGATGTATTATTAGATTGAGCAGCGGGCCCTGCCGCACAATGGCAGGCTCTCGCAGGGATCGGGAGCTCCACAAACAAGGACCGGCGTCCTGGGCCGCTTTTAGGCTCACCAGCGTGACTGGTTGCTGATTGGTCTGTCACCGACACTCGAACCAATCAAACCTGCACATTCGGCTAGAGCACGTGACCGTTGACGTGCTTTCGGGGGGCCAAAGGGAAGGGTTACAATTGGTGCGACAAAGAAAATTCCCTCGCGTGTGTTGCACTAACTACTAGCCACTACTTCGTTGATGCGAACTGCTGTAGGAAAGGGGAGTTTTGGAAGGCAAAGAAAAAAAAAAGGAAGCGACGCCACAGCTGTAGAGGCTGGTGCACCCCTCAAAAAAAGCCCCTCCTCCAATGGAAGAAGCCGAGCATCGCCAAGTATTCGGATAAATTTAGATGTACCAAGGAAAAAAGAACTGGCAGCGCCGGGAGCCACCGTGGTTGGCGTCTTTTAGCCCCGTGAGCTGCTAGAATTATGCGGTGGCAGGGCTGTCTATAGTGCGCTCGTCGGCCCCCAGACAAGAGCCGAGCATCCTGCCAACCTGTCTATGCGTGCATGCTACTAAATAACTTGCAAGTAAACTGTATTTATATCCAGCAAACTTGTTCATGATTCGTTCTCTCAAGACCCACCTTCAAGCAGTTGTCGCATTTTTTTTCTCGACTTTTTTGACCGGCACAGGGGTTGCACAAGGCCCCCAAAGTTCCCTTCCGTGTTCCTCCCCGACTTCTAGTTAGGTAGACCCTGTGTTAGTGCGTGTCCCATTGTTCGCGCACAACCTTACCAACTGCCCACTCGCGCCAGGCCACACCTTGTCCGTCCCATCCACCTTTGCGCAGTCACGCGCTTTCCCGCCTCATCCCCAGCCAAGGCCTGGTCTCGAACGCCTCTCTCGCATCGCCGTCAGTTTCAAATCGCCCGTTCCCTCCCACCCCCTCCGAACGGCCATCTGCGCCTCGCTCGTTACATCGCCCGCTTCGCTTCGCGTCGCGTCGCATCGTCTCTTTTCATTTGATTTACTGCCTTCCTGTCTTCGCCCCGGTCGCCGACCCGTCGCAGCGTGACAGAGCCGCCCGCTGCCCAACGAATCGCCCGGCACGGCTTCTCGCCCCCCGCCTCGCCACCGCTTTCGCATCGCGATCCAAGGAGTGTTAAAAAAAGACAACAGGACGAGCCAACATTTTTTTCGATACCGCTACATCACTTGAATGGCGCCTTGATTCGACGACCTGCACTGCCCGACTTGTCGACCCGGATTCGGACCTGTCTTGCCGCTACCGCCGAACGCCTGCTCGGTCCTGTTTTTCTTTCCCATCTTACCCCCCTCCCCTCCATTCGTCGCGCGCATCCATCTCGGAAGCGTGCGCATCCTTCAGCTAGATAATCGTGGCGGCGCTCACCCTCCTCAGCCACAACGAGACGGCTGAGCTCTCGCTCCAGCAGCATCTCGATATCTCGCCAGACCTGATCGCGTACCCGCCCCAGATCGCCACCGAGGCGGACCAAGAGCCGCTGATGATGGCACAGCAGGTGCCTCATCAGGCGACGGATAAAAAGCGCGTCAAGGTTTACGAGCTGCGCAATAACGACTGGTTCGATAGAGGCACCGGCTTCTGCACCGCCTCCTATACCACGGTATGTTTTATCTCGATGCCATCCAACCTCGTCGCCCGCCTGGCCATGCGCACATGGCGCGGCACATCTCGCATCTGCGCCCGACTCTTAGATCCGTGTACTGACGGCGCGATGCGCTCACTCTCCAGACAGAAGGTGGACGCAAAGACCCTCGCGTCATTGTCGAGTCCGAGGACCAACCCGAGCGCCTACTTCTCGAAACAAAAATTCAAAAGGAAGATGGGTTCCAGAAGCAGCAGGGTATGACGCGCCCAGCTCCCTCCGCGCCCAATAGTTTCACTAATGCACTGAAATAGAGACGCTCATTGTCTGGCAGGAGCCAGGGAGTGGTGTCGACATGGCACTGAGTTTTCAGGAAGCCGAAGGCTGTGCAATTATTTGGTTCGTTTTCGCGCCGATTCATCGCCACCATCACCGTCGCTGACCTTGTAACAGGAGATTTGTTAACAACATTCAACAAACATTTCACAACACCCTCGCCGGAGCCGGTATGCCTCAAGACAGTGCTGCATTTGTGCCGCCCGCTAACCTATCAGATGATGCCCTCTCCGATGACCTCACCGTCGACCTACCCCAGCACAATGTCAACCTACCCGCCGCCGAACTTGGTAACCTTAACGACATTGATACTGGCATGCGCATCATGAGCACCACCGCTAACGGCCGGGACGCTTTGGCCAAATTTATTATGGCCGAGGGCTATATCGGCAAGCTCATTCCCCTTGTCGAAATGGCTGAGGACCTCGAGAGCCTGCCAGACCTACACCGACTTTGTAACATCATGAAGTCGATTATTTTGCTAAACGACACCACCATCATTGAGCACGCCGTATCCGACGAAAATGTTTTGGGCGTTGTCGGAGCCCTCGAGTACGACCCCGACTTTCCCAGCCACAAGGCCAACCACCGCCACTGGCTGGACAATCAAGGTCGCTATAAAGAGGTGGTGCCAATCGAAGACGAAACCACACGACGCAAGATTCACCAGACCTATCGACTTCAATATCTCAAGGATGTCGTCCTTGCCAGAATCCTCGATGACCCGACTTTCTCTGTACTCAATTCTCTCATCTTCTTCAACCAGGTCGATATTCTCTCACACCTGCAATCCAATGCCGAATTTCTCAATGAACTCTTTGGCATCTTCACCGCATCCCAGTCCGAATACGGGCGCAAAAAGGAGGCCGTTTTGTTCATCCAGCAATGCTGTGGCATCGCCAAGACGATCCAACCACATGCTCGCCAAACTCTCTACAACAACTTTATCGCACACGGCCTGCTCCAGGTCATTCACTTCGGGCTTCGCCACGACGACGTTGCTGTGCGCGTCGGCGCCACCGAGATTCTTGTTTCCATCATCGATCACGACCCGTCAATGATCCGACAGACCATTTACCGCCAGATGCACGAAAATCAGCCCTCGTTGACCGATTCTTTGATAGAGCTTCTACTTGTCGAAGTCGATCTAGGAGTCAAGTCTCAGATTTCCGAGGCTGTAAAGGTCATCCTTGATCAGGGCGTGCAAGGTCAAGGGCCCGAGGTTGTGGCGAGGGTCAATGGCGAATTTCTCAGCCGCCCGAGACCACAGCAGTCGGCCGATCCCCAGCAAGAGTTGTTTCTCACGCGCTTCTACGATAGATCGGCCGCGAAGCTGTTTAAACCGCTCCTCGACTTGGAAAATCGCACTGATATGAAACTCTCCGTGCATCAAGCTTCCATGTTCAGCTATCTCATCGAGATTCTGAGCTTCTTCATTCGCCAACACCATCGTTTCAGCCGCTTTTTCGTCATGAACAACAATATCGTTGAACGCGTTGTTAACCTCATCAAGTCGCCCGAGAAATATCTTCGCTTGGTTGCTATTCGATTCTTCCGCTGCCTCGTTGGGCTTCAGGAAGAATTCTACCTGAAGCAAATCACAGAAAAGCGCGTGCTTGGGCCGATTCTGGACGTTCTTATCGCCACGATGCCGCGAGACAACCTGGTTAGCTCTGCCTGTCTCGAACTATTCGAATATATCAAAAAGGAGAACATGAAGGATCTGGTCAAGCACCTCGTGGAAACATACAGAGACCGTCTGGCTGAGCTGAGCTACATGTCAACTTTTCGTGACATAGTTTTACGCTACGATCAAACGCAAGGCTTCACGACAGACGTTGAATACTTTCTGGAATCGGAAGAGGACATGACTAGACGTTTACCTCCCAATGCGAGATTAATGGAGCATATCACGGTCGATCCCCAAGAAGATGAGTATTGGGAGAACACGTCGGATCCGGAAGACGAGGGCGAAGAAGCCCAAAATGCCAACAGTGGTTCCACACCGTCGAAACCGTTGGTGGATTATGCATCCGATGAAGAGGGCGATGATGCCGCCGTCGAAGATGAAGAGGTCATGAAGGATGAAGACGCCGACAAGTCAGTATCCTGGTCGAAACAAGAGTCTGTAAAGTCACCTCCGGAGCGCATCAGTGAGAAGCGAAGACGAGAAGATGACGAAGACGAAGACGAACTCGGAAAGCTCGTCGCCAACAAGCGCCGCAACAGCGGCTCCACCGACGCAAACACTGTCACAGCCAGTAAGGCCAGCTCGACGCGCCGGCGAAGCTTTTCCACTGGCAGCGCAAACTCGAAAAAGATTGCGATTAGTCTATCCCCTGCCCTCAAGAGCGGCGGGGATTTGCGATCAGACGACGAAACGTGAATTCCTATAATATCAAGACCTTATTGTCTTTACCTCTAAACCATGTTTTTGTTTTTTCCGAGCGCAAAGGGGGAAAAAGAAAGGGAAAGAGAGAGGGTGGAGGATATTCCAAACCAAACTTTTTTTTTTAACATCACATTCTTGTTTTTTCTTTAGTTTTTTACAAATGCCTTGGTTTTTACTAAAGCATTGGCGTTTCTGGGCAGTTTTATATTGACGAAATAATGGATAACAATCTTTTTTTTTTCTTTTTTCCTCACTCGGAGGGAGCTTTTGGGGAGGGTTCTTACTTTTTGATTTTGCTCCCCTTTGAAAGAGGCTTTTGGCGGATAAAGTGCGCTTTGTTCAAACCTTTTCTCAGCAAAGATTAGCAAAAGACGTTGACATCTTCTTTTCGCGCTGTGCTCTCTTTTTTTTTTTTTTAAAAAAAAAACTTTTCTTTTCCAATGACGAGAGGAGGCGAAAAGGGCTTGTTGGCTGGTTGGTTGTTGAATGGCCCAGGCCCGAGAAGCGGCGCTTTTTTTTTTGGTTGGGAGGACAAGGAACTCTTTTCTTCTTCTTGAAGAATAGTCGTTAGTATGTTATTTGGTTACATGAGCCAGACGATTAATTCCTCATCTTTCTTGTCTCTTGTTCAAGTGTGTATGAGTCTGCTTAAAGAAATGCACAATGAACCAATACATGAGCCCGTATCGGATGTTTGCGCATCTTTGTGAGAAGGAAAAGTTTTGCCAAACAGATGTTCTAGTTATTCTCACCAGGTGTGCGTGTAGAAAGCAAAGTGGAAAAAAAAGATTAAGTATTAGTAATTCAATAGCCATCTAGCAAGTCATTCCTTGTCAACCCTATCAGCCGTTCTGTAGCGATCAAAGCAAGTCATTCATATCTCAGCCCTATCTGCCGGCGAGCGACGGCTGCTAATTTTTCATCATTCATTCTATACTCCCCTGGTCCTTACCATCTCCCTATATTTATTTCTTTGCGATAAACTTTTGCGACCACTTCTTGTACTCGTTTATCATATCCTCCGTGATGTGCTTCGGTGTCGCGCACAGCGCCGCCCTCAGGTCCTCCATCGTGATTTCCATTTGCTTTGCCTCTCCTCCCGTCTCGACGGCGTCCTCGTAGCGCTCCAGCGCCGCCGTGCCCGCCGTCGTGCAGATGGCCTCAATCTCGGCGCCCGAGAAGCCCTCGGCGAGGCGCGCCAGCTCCGCGCAGTCGACGTCGGCCGCGAGCGAGAGACCCCTCAGGTGCACTGCAAAGATGGCGGCGCGCGCGGCCTCGTCGGGCGGGCCCACGTACATGATCTTGTCGAAACGGCCGGCCCGTAGCAGCGCCGGGTCCATGGCGTCGGGGCGGTTTGTGGCCGCCACCACGAGCACCCCGTGGAGCCTCTCGAAGCCGTCTACTTCCGTAAGCAGGGCCGTAAGGATGTTGACCGACGAGGTGCTGCGGCTGGCGGCCCCGCCGTCGCCGCCGTTGCGCCGCCCGCCAATGGAGTCGATTTCGTCGAAAAAGATGATGGACGGGGAGGCGGCGCGGGCGCGCTCAAACAAGGTGCGCACGGCGCGCTCCGACTCGCCGACGTACATGTTGAGAAGCTCGGGCCCCTTGACGGCGAAAAAGTTAAAAGACGACTCGATGGCCAGGGCCTGTGCTAAGAGCGTCTTGGAACATCCGGGGGGACCGTACAGGAGCAGGCCCTTGGGCGGCCTGCGCAGCACGCGGCGGCTGGCAGGAGTCATGTCCTGTTCAAAGCTCGTTAGCTAAAGATCAATGAGATACGTAGGACAAGGGCGTGGAAGGTACCTTTGTGTTTTTAATCATCCGTGAAAGGATCTTTTTAAGGTCATCTTGGCCGCCAATGTCGTTCCAATGAATGGTCGACCTGGAGAGGTTGATGTCGTGCATGGCCGTCGGAATCGTCAGTCGCCGCGCCAATTCCATGTCGGACACTTCCAAGTAGTGCACCGCACGAGCCACCTCCTCCGTCTCATCTCCGCTGCGCCCGGCGGCGTCTTCGGCCTCGTTTTCCAGCCGGGTGTCGAGCATGTCAGTAGCCGTCTGCACCAGGATCGCCAGGTCTTTGCCACTAAAGGCGTGCGTCTCTGATGCGAGGCTCGCCAGGCAGGCTTCGCGCTCCGCCTCCCGCAGCGGTGGATCCAGAAACTCGAGAATCTCCTTCCGCTCCGCCGCACGCGGTAACCGCAGCATGATATTCCGGCTCAGGCGCGTCAATTTTTGCAGCCTGGCCGGCACGTCGGCCGCATAGTCAAGGCAGGCGGCCACGACGACGACAGGCGGCAGGCGCTGTTGATTGACTGCACGCTCGGCCAGCGCGTCGAGTTCACCCGCGAGCGTCTCAACAATGGCGTCGTGGTGCACGCGGTCCTTGGCAAGTAAGACCTCGAGCTCGTCGAGCAGAATGATGGTTGGCCGGCCGCCGGCTGACGCCTGCCGAAACGTCTCGCGCAGGGCCGACGGCTTGACCGACGACGGGATCCAGTGCACCGCGCCCCAGCCCGTGGCGGCCAGCCGGTTCAGGATCATTGTCTTGCCCAGGCCGCGTGCGCCGTGCACGACAAAGGCGCACGAAATGAAGTCGCGCCGGACCCAAAAGGGCCGGCCAAAGCGCCGAAGAAATGCGTTGAGTGGAGCGACTTGGTCCGCCAGCCCAGGGAGGTCGGTGACGAGGAGCCTTCCGCCGGGCGTTTCGACGGCGGCGGCCACGTCGTCCTCGCCGGGTGACAGGATGCGAATGGCGCTGGTGCCGGGGCGAAAGCGGCCGAGAATATGGCTCTGCCCGTTGACGCGGAGGACCTTGAAGTTGCGACGCACCTTAGCTAACGACACACCGTCAAAGACCATTCCGGGAAATATTTGCTCCGCATCGTCTGCATCCCACAAGAGTTAGCTGTGCCACCTCACACCTGCCCACTTGCGGCGTCATGGGAAAAACGTACTCATGACGGCGTTTAACACCACCCTCCAGTCCATCGGATACAGCGTCGGCGTCACATCCGCCTCGGATTCGCTCAGATCCCGAACGACGACCTCTTCCACGTCTGGTGTCGCCGCTCTCAGCACGATGCGCACCTGGTCGCCGACACGAAACCCCGTTGCGTCCTGAAAGGCCCGCGTCATCATAACCACATTCGGGCTGAGGTTCTTTTCTGGTAGGACGCATAGTGAAGCTTCCCGACGAATCGGATCAGACTCATCGTCGCCGTCGAGCGGGACTCTTTCCACCACGCATGGTCTGCTCTCGAGGCCGTTGGTCAGGGCAATGAGTGAGTCTTTGCTCACGTAGAGGCGGGCGGCGCCGAGAAGGCTCTTCTTCTCGAGGGAGGGGTGGGATAGCGGCCGCACCTTGACGGTGATACTCTCCTGAACCATTTCAGCCGAGACGTATCGAGTTGCTACAATTGTCAAAGATGTGTTGAAGATATAAGCGGACGGAATTATCAAGAAAAGCTCTGTTGAACCCTGGTTTTATACTATATCCACTGATGCGCCGCACAGACCACAAGCGTCACTCACTGCTCAGTTTCGTGTGGAGGCAGCCACCAACTCAGGCACCGCAGTGACAAAACTGTTCGCCGCCTAATCACCAGCTCACCAACAAAAAGCCACGAATTTTTTTTTTCACCCTTTTGTAACCCACCTGGCAAGCACCGCCAGCGTGGGGATATGTAGGTTGTGACTCGTGTGAATTTGGTGAATTAGCTAGGTGCGCGATCTGGGTTGAGTTCTCGATTCGACCTCGACTTCCTGATGAGTCACAACTTACAGAATAGGTACCTAGTCATTATTGATGCTTTCAAAACCAATTTTAATGTAGACTTGGTGGCAAGTAGTTGAAAAAAATAAATAAGAGATATATTACCTGCGCGGGAGGGGGGTGTTTTCTGACATGGCAACTATTGCGTCTCCCGTTTGCAATGTCTCCTTGCTGTCTACCGAGTAACGCTTGTCAAGGCGCTTCACATGTCAAATTTTTTTTTATATTAGTAGCTTCTACACGCGCAAACGCGGTAGATGCCCTGATAGCCTCACTAGACAGCAAAGAGACATTTTCGTGTCGGTGTATTTTAGCTATGTCAAAAACCCCCCCGCGCGCATAGGTTCGTATACAAAGACGTACTCCGGTATGTATTTATGATACAGAAGATTTTACTTTTGACAACATTATATTTGCTTCGTTAAAAGTACACTCTTTGATGTCGCGATAGTAGCATTCGCTACGCACCAAGTCAACACATCAAAGACGGGTATTGTTACATTCCGGGGGCCTCTGTATCCGCGCCCGTATACCCTTAGTATCCGGTCGGTCGTGGTGCGTCGTCACCAGAAGCTGCCCGAGTCCTTCCTTCGCTTCTCCGTCTGCAGCACAAGATTGTTAGCCCATTACTCTCCGTGCGGCGCGTCAAAGACCCTACCCAAGCTTGCTTGCAATCGCGATACGCCCTATGGAAAAGAACCATTAGCACATGCATTAACCCCCCGAAGGCTCCCCCCTCCGCCCCCAAGACTCGGGCGTGAAACGCACTGAAAATAGTCGGTACACATGGTCTTGTCGCCATTGTTTCTGTACAGGCACTTGTAGCTGCGCTGCGCCGCCTCTTGGCACGGGTCGTAAAACTCGCTCTTGGATTTCCTAGCCGGTTTCTCTCGTCAGCTTCTACCTCGACATTGGTTGTCGCGCGGTGTTATGCGTCGGCATACGTTGCAAACTTTTGCTTGGCCTCGCCGGTCCAAGGGCTTTGTTGCGAGCCTTCTTCTGGTTTTGACGACATGGCTGCTGATTGGAATGTGATGAATGGGAAAAAAAAAAGTTGCGATGGCTTCGAAGCTAACTAGCAAAACGTCACTCGTCCGATCCGCCCCACAACCATCAGGACCACTGGTGGACGGAGATAAGGCTGCCTAAACACAAACGATATTACCGAGTTGATAAATAGCTAGGTAACCAAATAAATGATTGCAAATCTGTTGTGTTCATGGTTCTTCAAAATCGATACTGCCAGCAAGGCATGAATAGTGATCATGTCCTGTAGTAATGCTACTGTCCGAAATGCACAAGGGGTCATGGCCAGCATCACCCGAGTCCGAGTTCCATCAAAAGTAAATAAGGAGCTATAGCGACGAAAGATTCTTTATTCTTATGAAATTATATCAGGGCTACCAGAATCCGTCATTTTCCCAGTTCGTGGAAGCTCTCGCCTTTTCCGCCGCCAGCAGGCCGTCTCGCGCCTTTGCTATGCAAGCTGCCACTTCCGCGCTGCAGCACAGCTCCGCATCCAGCTCTTTGAGCTTTGGCTCGCCCATGATGGCCAGCGCCGTGAGACCCAGATACGAGTGATAGATGTCGGGCGGCGCGCCCGTCGTCTTGGCGAACCCTCCGATCCTATGCTGCGTGATGCCCGTCAAGTAGTTGCTTGCCGGTTCTCGATGCAGCATGGACTGTTGCTCGAGGAGCTTTGCGCGCGTTGCTCATCAGATTTATTTTCTTCTTCTTCTTTTGCAAAAATAGCAAAAAATGACAGTAAGCAAAAGTTCTTACCGATAACGCGCCAGCTGCCCACCAGAAATAGCAAGTGTCTGCCTTTTTGTTCCAGCGGCCGTTGCAGCCGACAAAAGTTGGTGGGCCGTCGAGCTGTAGTTGCGCAAGCTCTTTTTCGATAAAGTTTTCCTCGTCGTCCTCGTGCTCCGTTTCCTCCTCGGCGTGGTAGATAAACTGCCGATGCGAAAGAAACTTGAGGAGCTGTGCACGGTTAGGAATGTGCTGGTCCGCTGCTTCTGCTCTCTTGCGTGTCGAGGCGGGCCGCGACAGCAGGCTCAACGCCGAGAGCGCGCAGAATGTGTAACCACCTACATCAAGTTAGTGCTAGCTCCGGCATCAATCGAAAAGATGTTTACCGTGTGACTCGTGATGCGACGTCGTTTCGCCCATGCCACCATCATGCGTTTGCGTGTTTGCGATGAAGCCGACCAGCTTGTCCAGATCCAAGTCTTCCACCCACCCCTCATCTCCCTTTTCCACATCCCCTCTCAGCATCCACCGGATCCCCGCCGCCATGTAGCTATTCCTGACATCATGCCCGCCCACCGGCTCGCCCTCCCACAGCATCTGTCCCACAGCGCCATCCTCGTTCCTCTGCAGCCGCCTCAGCCAGCGCAGCAGCCGCGTCCTCTTGACGCCTGAGAACGCGCCCTCCTCTTGAGGCCCGCCCACGCCCGCCAGCGCAAGCAGCACCAGCGCGAAAAAGGTGGCCGCGAGGTTGGCGTCGCCCGCGGACGCGCCGGCCGGCGCGTGCGTCGCGCTGCCGCAGAAGCCACCGTCAGGGTGCTGCAGGCTGAGCACCCACGCTCGAATGGCGGCGCGCTCCTTGGCGGTGAGCGGCGACCGCAGCAGGTCCAGCGACGAGACGATGAAGCAGGCGAGCGTGAGGCGGGTCGAGTCGTTGGCGGTGTACGGGGCAGGCAGATAGCTGCCGTGGCAGCGCTTCCAGTATTTGATGTGCCGCTCTACATCGAGGCCGGAGTTTTCGGCAGCGGTCATGATGCTGCGCCGGTTAGACTTGTGTGTTATCCCGTGTGTGAGGTTGTAGTGTTGGCGTTGGTGTTCGCGAACCTGTCAACTGCCCCACCTGAAGAGGCGCACATCATTAGACATGACTTTTGACAAGGTACTTTCAGCTCGGGCAGGAATAAATTGATACAAAAGAGAGCAGACTTGAAAGCCAAAGGTAAAAAATACGAACGAATATTGAGAAATTTCTTGTGAGGAGTTGAACAATCCGCCGCCAGGAGATCTCGGTATTCCGCGTTGTAAAATGTTACTAGCGCGTCCTAGTGGTACGCAGACGAGGTTAAACTAATTTCTTCCTCTTTTCTTTCGCGTATTATCCTTGGGTCGTCTCTTGCCTCAATTTACCCATCTACTTGTCTTCAATAACGATTGTGCATTCGAGAAATCAGCTTCGCCTCGGCATCCCCTCTTCGCCAGCCATGTCCTAGTACTGGGTAGTGACCGAGCCAAGCCAACGCATCTAATACACAAGTGACGAAACTCGGGCCCGGCTGCCGGAGCAAAACAGAGCCGGTGGCTTGCCGGCCCATTTGTTGGTCGTCCTCGGTCGAATCCACACCCGTCATCCCCGAAATCACCCCAGACACTACGGAAACGTCTACTTTGAGAGACATTGTTTGACAGAGAATACATCCTTGCCGCGAATCCACGAGTGTCTCTGATGGTGACACTCCCCGAAATCTGGGTTACCCGCTTCCACCACCGCGGACGCCTTAGCTGCACAGTGGCGTCCACCGTGCCAGACAAAGACACATTCATCACGCCTCGACACATTGCCATCTTCATCCATCCGAGGACAATTTTGCGAACCAGTTTGCCTACCAATTGTGGTTTGGGAACCGGCCAACTTCGGGTTTCCCCGTTTCCGACGTCCGTGCTGCCGCATGATCGCCAAAGATGGGCCTCCGCTCCCGTCCCTAGCGAATCGCGACTGAGACTACTGCCAACTAGCGCTGCTTTCCGCAACCAACTGCTGAAACAAAAAGTCAAGTGAGGAGTTGCGTATGCTAGGTTTCCTGTTGGAGCGGAAACGGAAGCGTTACATTGGATTAAAATCAGCAAAAAAAATGAATACGAATAAGACAGCGTGACCCTATTCTGCTTCATCCCATCCCTCCTTCGCCATCTCAGACTTTTCTCATCACTCTTTCCACCAACTCGCTAACCCCCAGGTCTTCTTGTCCCAACTCATCATCTATAGACTATTCGTGCCCGTTCATCATGTTTGGCCTGCACTACCTCACCCAGTCGCTGCCCCAGTCGGCCTTTATCCCCAGCCCGCCCCTGACCGAGCGCAACCTGCCGGACCAGACCGGCCGGGTGCACATTGTCACCGGCGCCAACTCCGGCGTCGGCGAGCAGCTCACGCAGATCCTCTACGAGAAGAACGCCACCGTCTACGTCGCCGCCCGCAGCCAGAGCAAAGCCGACGCCGCCATCGAGCGCGCGCGCGCCCTGCACCCCAGCTCCAAGGGCCGCCTCGTCTTCCTTTCCGTGGATTTGTCCGACCTGCGCACCGTCAAGCCGGCCGTCGACGCCTTCCTCGCGCGCGAATCCCGCCTCGATGTGCTCGTCAACAACGCCGGCGTCATGTTCCCACCCGCCGACACCGTCAGCGCCCAGGGCTACGAGATGCAAATGGCTACAAACTGTCTCGGCCCGTTTCTGCTCACCAAGCTACTCACCCCGGTGCTGACGGCGACCGCCAAGACGGCGCCCAAGGACTCGGTGCGCGTCATCTGGGCCTCGTCGCTGGCCAACAATCTGTTCTCCCCGTACGGCGGCATCGCCCTGGACAAGGACACGGGTGCGCCCAGGAACCACGCCATCACGCATGTCAACTACGGCCAGTCCAAGGCGGGCAACCAGTTCTACGCCGTCGAGTTTCACCGCCGACACGCCGCCGACGGCGTCGTGAGCGTCACCTTCAACCCGGGCAACCTGCAAAGTGGCCTACAGCGCCACCTGCCGGGCCTCGTCCACAACTCGCTGACATATCTGGGCTATCCTCCGCGCAACGGCGCCTACACGGAGCTGTTTTGTGGCTGGAGCGACGACATTACTCTGGAAAAGGGCGGCTCCTTTGTCATTCCTTGGGGCCGTCTCGGCAATGATTACGTCCGTCCTGATTTGGTCAAGGCAGTGGAAGAGAACAAGACCAACCCGAATGCGATGCCGAGACGGTTCTGGGAATGGAGCGACAAAGAGACTGCAAAATTTGCTAAATAAAGTTTGTGCCAACTTCAACTTCTAATCAATGGAGCAAGAGCGAACTTTGTATATAATAGCAGCAGCTGAAGGGCTGTCGCGAGTAGAGCTCCAATGCAAATACCAGACTGAAAATGTACAGCAATTACAGAATTGGCGACCACACAAGTTGCGCCTTTGTGGATACAACTACAACCACTGCATAACATGCAATTTCCGATTAGTCGCCATCTTCGATTGCAGCCATTTGTGTCACAAATTCATGCTGCAACTGTTTAAGGTAGCCTGGCAGAGCCTCCTTGGCGCCGTCAGCCCTTGCTTGCTTCAGAGCCTCGTGTAGACCTAGGATCAGTTGGCGGCGTCTTTGCAACTTTTGCGCTTCCAAGCTTTGCTTGCTTGCTTCTTTTCGCAGCCTTGTTGCGCGTACATACTCTTCGGCTGGTCGAATAATGCTATCCGGAAATCCAATCGCCTTGGCAAGATTGATTCCGTAATCCTGCTCGTCCTTTTCGGGGCCGCGCTCCGTCTTGTACAACATGGTCATACACGGCACCCCGTCCTCGTTGACTGAGCAGTCGGTTGCCAGGTGCAGGTTGAGAACACCGGGCCGGTTAGCCAAAGCGCGTGCGAGTTCCAGAAAATGAGTGGCAAACCACACAAAGGCCTTGGATTGAATTAGTGCTTCTGCCATGGCAATGGCAATGGCAAGCCCGTCACGGGTGCTGGTGCCTCTGCCAAGTTCATCGATGATAACCATGCTTTGTTGATCCACGTTGCGCAAGATGAATGCCATGTCGCGCATTTCGACAGAGAAACTGGATAGCCCTGCTTCTATGTTATCGCTCAAGGAAATGCGAGTAAAGACATTATGGACGACAGAGAAGGAAGCATATTCGGCCGGAACAAAGCAGCCAATTTGCGCCATGATCTGTAGTAGCGCGATGGCTCGGATATACGTGCTTTTTCCGCCCATGTTGAATCCAGTCACAATATGGAAGCAATGCTGTTCTGTAGCGAAATAGTCGTTTGGTACAAATCTTTCTGCAAGTATCTGCATAGTTAGCGGAGGCTGCACGGCTGTGTACATACCCATACCTTGTCAACTATAGGATGCCTAGCTGACTTGAGTGCCAACCTGTTTGTAAATTCGGGTCGTACATAATCGCGTGTCGTACTTAGCTGGGTGAAGGAAGCGAGCATGTCAATGAGACCGATCGATTCACACATTTTGAAGAGGTGAGATGCGTCTGATTGCAGAGTGGCAATCAGCTGCTCGATGATGGCATCGCTGCGGAACACTACCTCATTTGAAGTGTCCGAAAGTCGCATGTTCAGCTTGACAAGATCAAGAGTCTGGCATTCGATAGCGCCTCGCTTTTTGACCACATTGATGAAGAAACCAGGTGGATCAACACTGTTGTAGTCACCAATACTTATCTTCAGCCAGTATTTGCGACCATTGTCGAACTTGAGCGTCGCAGTTACATTATACTTTTCTATGATAGATGAGGAATAGCTGGTGTTATCGGACGACTGTAACCTTACCGTTGAGTTGTTCAACGTAATTGTGAATCTCTTCCGTCAACTCTTTGTATGCCTGCCGGGACACATCTAACACACCGCTAATACCAGTTCGCACAGCGAAAGTTCGCTGGTTCCGTAAATCAAGAGCTGATTTCGTGTATGATACGTCAGATTCAAGCACTGTGTGTATCTTTTGTGACATGGCTCCGATTCTCTCCAGGCTGCAGAGCTCCCGAATCTTGACTAGTAGTGGAGCGGTTGCAGGCCTCATGGCTAGGTGCAGCTCTTTGGCTGCCTCCAAGAACGACTTGATCATAAGCACTTGGTTGATCTGCTGCTCTGCTTGGGGTATGGCCACAATTACGGGGATTGTGATTAACTAGGCCACATTAGAAAGCGACAGCATCCCGCGTTCAAGCACCAAGTTACCTTGGTCAGGAGCTTTTCCACATCAAGAAACTTTTTCAAGGCTAAAATTTGTTAGCGGGTCAAGGCATTGTAGAAGTCTCAGCAAAAATACTCTTTCGAATTTCTAGAAACATTTCGTCATTCAGAGTCAGCTCCTCGACGGCGTCGTAACGCGGTGCGATGAACGATTCGTAAAGCGTAGGCGGTTGAATTATGTTGCTGCGCAGCATTCGATTGCCCATTGGGGTAACGCAATGATTGAGTAAGCCAAAGAGGCTATCCTTTGATTTGCTGGAGTGACTATTTTGAACGATTTCCAAGCATTGGATCGCGGATACATCAATCATCATGGTATCATCTGAAGGTTGGTAGCGTAGTCGTAGAGAATGCGGAGCAAACGTTATAGAGAATTGGTGTTCAATCTGCGCCATAGCCTGACCATTCTGTTATTGGCAATTCGGACTCAAGTGGTCAAAGTGCAATCATACTGCAGCCAGAGCGCTCACAGCGTAGTATTTGCCTTGAATAGCGACTTGGATTGGCGGAATGTCAGTTTCGAAAGCCAGCTTATTAATGTATTCTATTCCCTTGGTTTCGGACCAAAACGAGCGATCAGTCACGTCAATGGGTATATCGGCGAACATTGTACGGAGCAGCGACATGAGGCTAGTTGGTCTCGTTCCTTGAGCCAAGCAGATAATCCGGGATGGCCAATTGATGCGTATTTTGTGCAGGGTTTTGACATAGGACTGGTTATCACAAATTTGACTGAGAACGGCTTCACCTAAAGACGTATTCACAAATGCAATCCCAACAGATGGCGAAACGCCCCGAGCTTCACAGACGGCGCAGACAATGGTTTGGGCCTCTCCTACAACGGACGAAGCATTGGTGGCACGCGACTTTCGACCAGAGGCTGTGGTGGGGCGACTAAGCGAGGTAGATATGTTCGACGGAGTGAGACCAGGTGTCGATGCTGCTACAGAATTGGAGGATTGGAAAAGTTGATGACTTTTTGGAGTGGCGGCACTTGGTCCTGTGGTCTTGCGTGAACGGCGGCGAGCAGGAGTACGCGCGGAGGCTGGTGTGTTGCTTCGAGATGCAGTTGAATTGGTAAAATATTGAGAAGAAGTGACACTCGGCATCAAAGCCCGCGAGTTGATCCGTGAATGATCCATTTTGAATGATCACTGGTAAATATTTAAAAGGGGCAGAAACAATCTGATGGCGAATTGTTGTGCAGAAGGTGTAGAAGTCGTGTACAAACGGCGACTTTGGCCTAACCGCGACGAGCCCCACACGGTGCATCGTCGTCACCTTTCGCACCAGGGCATCGCAAAATTCACACCTCGCACCCATCCATTGTTGTATGGTACGGAAAACTTAGCGACAATGTTTGGCATTCTTGAGTCAGTGGCTACGCCTCGCGCGGGCGTCTATAGCAGCTACGAAGATTTGATTGAAAATCTGAATGAGCGGATGGAAAAGGAGGGCTACAAAATCGTCAAGTCGCGCTCTCACAGGGCGTACGTTGGGGGCGCCGACGTGCCCAATAACGGTATTATCCGCTGCGACTTGGTCTGTAATCGTGGTGGCCGGGCATACAAATCAGAGGCAACACAACGCAAAACGACAACCAAGAAGACGGGTTGTCCATGGAAAGCCAAGGCCGTCCACCGAAAGACTCTCGGGGGGTGGGTGCTTACCGTGGCCTGCGACCAGCATAACCACGAGCCCGGTACGCCTGAGCCTCCGTCGCCAGAGCCCAGCAATGGCGAGGACGAAGATGTGGAAGACTCAAGTATGAACTTTTGGACCAGCCTTTACGGACATGACTGACAAATGCAGGCCCGGAATTACCAGCACTGGGGCCAGACACCTCAGCTGCCATCTCAGTCGCTGGCGTGTCAGAGGCAGCAGTACGGCTGACAGGAGACACATTCAACCAGTACAAAAGAGACTACAGAAAACTCTCGCCAACTGATCGAATGCAACTGCTTTCTAATATGCAAATGCGAATTGCTGCCATTTACGCTATCCAGAATGAAGATGCGCAGCGTCAACGGCGTCTAGAGATTCAAGAAAGACGGCATCGTGAGATCGACACGGCCCAAGGAAGGCCTCAGCAGAGCAGAACGTCAAACACACATAAAAGGCAGAGACTGAGCGTTGTTGAAGATCTGGAATATGACCAAATGGTTCGGCAGAGCGCAAAGCTTCCAGGCGGGCAGAGGCGGAGCGCTGCCGAAGATCCAAATTATGGCCAGATGCTTATGCAGAGCGAGAGGCGGCAGCTGCGAGAGCAACACTCACAGGCAGCGTCAGAGCCCCAGATGCAGGACACAGCCACACAAACATCAGTGTCTATTCCTAATATCGGACTGGCTCAATTCCCGCAATTTGCAAACAGTTTCAGGCGTGGCCGAGAAGCAAACCCATCGAATGCTGGTTCTCGAGGTAATGGAGCAGTGGGGCGGTAGTTGCGCCGCCGCACCGCCAACAATTTCACCGCCTAAATTTCATGATTTTGCCAGTTGCCCCACCAAATCTGGACGACTTTTTCGATCCTCTTGGTTCTGGCACATCTACACTGAGGGACAAAATGTCGACAGTCTTGCCTCCGCCGTCGAAAAGACAGCGCCGTGAGCAGCTTGAGCGCTCTCGTGTCCAGCAAGATGTTACGGCCGTCCCTGGGCCCGAGGGCTCCTTCAAGGCTCGATTCGTTGACCCGGATGGCAATCAGCAGGCGCTGGTAGAGGTGCCGCTAGCTGATGCCTCGGAGAAGAACCTGTCGCTGCTCTTGAATACGCTTCTCGCTAGGGTACGCAGACCACCTGTACCGCTCCATGATCTCCTGTTAAAACTTTGACCAGGAAAAAGAAGACTTCGTACCATACCGGTTCCGCATCCACATCCCCGACAGCGATATCATTGTCGATCAGTATCCCAACGATTTGCTGCAACTGTTGCGCAGCCATGGCATTGAAAATCCCTTCGAAACTACAGTCACGCTTAGTGCCGAGCCACAGGCAGTCTTCAAAGTCAAGGCAGTAACGCGCATGTCGCATCGCATCCCGGCGCACGGCGAAGCCATTCTTGCAGCACAATTCCCTCCCCAGACGAGCAGCTTGTTGGCCACGGGATCTGGTGACAATACTGCGAGAATCATGGACACGGACACTGGTACGCCTAAATATACTCTGTCTGGCCACAAGGGCTGGGTACTGTGCGTCGCGTGGTCGCCGGATGGACGCCGACTGGCGACTGGCAGCATGGACAAGACGGTTCGGCTGTGGGATCCTGTTACTGGCAAAGCCGTTTCGGGGGGAACATTCAGCGGGCACGCCAAGTGGGTGACAAACATGGCATGGGAACCATATCATCTCTGGAGAGATGGCACACCCAGACTGGCAAGTGCTAGTAAGGACTCGACTGTGCGTGTGTGGATGGTAGACAATGGCACAACGGAACATGTCTTGTCTGGACACAAGAGCAGCGTCAGTTGTGTGAAGTGGGGAGGCACGGGAAACATCTATACAGCCAGCCACGACAAGACGGTAAAAGTTTGGAACGCAGAGCTGGGGACGTTGCTGCATACACTGTCTTCTCACGCACACTGGGTCAACCACTTGGCATTATCGACCGAGTTTGCGCTACGAACATCATATTTTGACCACACACCGACTCCGGCAACAGAGCAGGAGAAGCGTGCCAAGGCCAAGGAACGATTCGAAAAGGCTGCAAAAATACAAGGCAAGGTTGCTGAGCGGCTAGTCTCGGCAAGTGATGACTTTACCATGTATCTGTGGGATCCGTCGCAAGGGACGAAACCAGTGGCGAGAATGCTGGGCCATCAGAAGCAGGTCAATCATGTAACATTTTCCCCAGACGGGAGCTTGATTGCCAGCTCAGGCTGGGATAACCACACAAAGCTATGGAACGCCAGGTACGTGTTGATATGATTGATGAAGAGACATGACAGAACTATTCCGCCCGCTGACGATGACTGATAGGGACGGGAAATTCATCAATACTCTCCGAGGCCACGTGGCACCAGTATACCAGTGTGCGTTTTCTGCAGACTCGCGGCTTCTTGTGACGGCGTCGAAGGATACAACGCTTAAGGTATGGTCGATGGCAACGCACAAGCTAGCCGCGGACTTGCCAGGTCATCAAGACGAAGTCTACGCCGTTGACTGGAGTCCGGACGGCAAGAAAGTTGGCAGCGGCGGAAAGGACAAGGCTGTGCGCCTGTGGTGCAATTAGAAATCAAGAAAAGGGGAAAGGCAAGGAGGCAGTGCATGGTAGTGCATATTTTATGACTTATCGGGAAAAACGATTAGCACGGACTGGCTGTGGCCAACACAGGGTTCATGCGCGGCGGGCTATTGACGTGGCAATGGAAATGAGGCATATACTGGCAGGGACAGAAATGAAGAAAGATCTATAATATACAACTGTATTGCCTGTTTCAAGACGGAGTGCCGAGTCTGCAGAGTGATGTGGTTTGGAGTTGCTGTCGACCATTTTCGGTGAGGCGTGATTGGAGGAGGCGTGGATGAGGCGAGGATAAGGCAGAAGGGTTCGCGCCGTGGCGTCTTTGCATAGCACTGCCGAGCCAGTGGTGAGGGTTGCTTGGGGTAAGCGAGAAACATGTGAGAAGAAGTTGCAGGCCAAGCAGGCCAAGCTGCGACGGAAGCAGAAAGCTGGGGAAGGGGACGGCGGCGGGATAGGATCGAAGCGTTATCTGACGCTACCCAGGCAAGGCCGGGGGTACAGATGAGAATGGAACAGTCGGGAACGCCGATACCAAGAGCATAGACTGAGACATTAGGCTGTTGACAACAGTAATTAGTGCCACCGGCAAGTGTTTCTCGCATTTCTATAAGCCGCAAGCCGGTTGGGCTTCGATGTTGTGCTTACGAGTTTTACAAGTTGGGGATTGAAACTGCGATGAGCAGTGGGCATGGCAGAGCAGAAAAGGCATGGCAAAGCAGTAAAAGCAGGATCGATAAGTAGAGGCAGCAAGGAAATTCGCTTCAGAGAAGGAGGCACGTGGTCAATGAACTGGCGAGCCGCCGCGCAGGATGCCGTGCGAGGTTGAGGTGCGGTGGCAACTTGGGTAAGAAGGATGTTGGTGGAGGGTGGTGGAGGTTTGCAGGAGGTGGACAAGGAGCCAAGCCACCCGCCATGATGGCGTGCTGTTGTGTGCCAAGCCGGAGGAGTCTGACATGTAAGTGGAAGAGGCAAAAAAACAACAAGGGCTTGGTGCGTTGCACAGCAGAAGAATTAGAGGATGAAAAACAGAGGAAGATGTGTTGTCCAGAACAATGACTTACACGGGGAATATTCAAGTCAGCTGGTGTCTGGGTAGGTGGGCAGTGAGGGTTGGGCCAAGGCTTGAGTGTAAGTAAGTGTTGTAAGGTTGGCTCATTATTCTTGGACATGGGAACCATGCGTCGAGCAAGTTTTACAAAATTTCATTTTTCTGCGAGATGGCAAATCTTCTCTCCTCAAACGAGCAGACAATTCAAACAGAAAAATGCAGAAAAAAAGAGAAGAATCCAGTGTCAACTATGGAAGCGGGAGGGCGGGCGGCGGCCCAACGGCTGCAGGTAAAGTGGCCCGGCCCGCGCTAGACGAAGGGGGGTTCGGGGAGTGATGCGCTGCAGCCTGCATGGGCACGCACGCATTCTTGGTTACAGTCTCGGTGGAGTTTGATGGCCGGCGAGAAATGGCGAGAGAGAAGAAAAGGAAATCGAAGAATCAGGACGGGGCTCCGCTTGTAACCAGGTGTGGCGGCTGGAGTTATTCTTGTTGGCCAAGGGCAGGTGTTGAATTGTGCATCCTCCTGAATGATTGGCAGCGCAGCGATGCCGAGTTGTGGTGTGTGGTGGCTGGAGGGAACACAAGGGAATGAGGAGCAAGTGCCACATCATGAGTGGTTTTACATTAAAAAGCCGCGGGATATAATGTACGAATTAAATCCTCTTTCTTTTTACGAATGGTGATTCTTGATCCTGATAAAAATTGCCATTTGTGATTCCCGGCGGCCGTTCTTGGACTTGCATGCGTGCTTTCTCACGGTGCAGCACAGTGCATGGCGAACGGAGCTTAACCGTTCCAAGTCCAGTACAGTGCCTTTGCGGAGATTACAAGCGCAACCAAATCTGTGACACTTGACACTAAATAGATAAAAGTGTATCAGTTGGCTGAATAGCGAGTTACAAAGTTTGGGCAGGTGACTAGAAAAAGACGCCCATCAACGTGTTGGCGAGCTAGCCGCAACAGACAAAGGTCCATGACACGCCCCAGACAGAGCACAACGCAGCGCATGGACCCAGGGGAATGGGCAATGCGGATGACGTTGGGCTGCCATTGGGACATTTCGGCAAGCCGTTTTCTCAGCCCGACGGCAGAAAATGACATGGTACAGGACTAAGTAAAATTAAACAAGATAATGATGTAAAAGAGCCAGAGTGTGGGAACCGGATGGTGCGGCATCTTGCATGCTTCTGCTGGTCCTAAACACCCAAGAAGAAAAAAAGGAAGCGAAAGAAAAGGAGGAAGAAGAACAAGAAGAACAAGAAGAACAAGAAGAGAAAGAAAACAGGAAGCGCCACAACAAAAGTCGTTTACGCCAAAGTGACGACTTACCCTCCAGGCATTGGCGCGGCAAGCTCCGAGAGACGAAGCTCCGAAAGCCAAGGCAAAGCCAAAAAAAAAAAAAAAAAAAAGGTCTTTCTGACCTGTAAAGTGAGTGGATTGCGTTGGTCTGAATCCACTCACTTCGGACGAAAGCTTCCTTTGGAGGGCCGCGACTCGTCAGCTTGCGTCTTCTATGCTGCTTCTATTCAAGGCATTTATCGAGCGACGTTGACTTTCTTGATTTCAACAGCCAAGCGAGGGTTGCATCTTCTTTTTTCGTCACCGTCAGCTTTGGAGGTGCTGAGTCGTGCATCCTTGCCTGTTGAGCGATTAAAATCTCGATCTCAGACACTGCTTGGGTTGTGCCTTGGTTTCAGAAACAGTTTCTTTTTATTTCATTTTTTTATTTTTTTTCTTTTATCGATTACGTCGTCAAACGGTTTGCTTCGGCAGCCAGCCGTCGGATCCAAGGACTGCCAGAACACTGGACACCCAAGACAACTACAGCAAAAAAGACGAGAGACAGAAGAAAAGAAAAGGGGCAAAGATACACGTTACACTCTACAAAAACACGACTTGGAATTGTCATTTTCAGTTTCCGCTCCACCGGCGCTACTCCCACTGAAGATCGAAAGCTCTCCCACAGACCAACTACAATCCAGCGGCAAAAGCCACAGTGAAAGCCACAGCTTCAGCCAGCTACTACCTAGGTACCTAGCCACTGTGCCACTGTAGGTAGCCACTGGAACCGTTACAAAACTACCTAACCGCCCAAACTGCCAAATTGCACTGCCCAGCGAAACGCGCTCCCACCCCGCCAAAGATAGCGCTGACCGGCAACGCCTCCCCCAACGTCAAACATTCAGCATTCTTCTACCAGCTCCCTCGCTCTCTCCTCTTTCACCAACCATTCTCGCCACCACTTTCGCCTAATGGCCTATCCGCTCTGACGATAACATCAATCGCCGTTTGCATCGCGTCGAACGCGCCCGCATTCGCTCTCAGCACTTGTCCTTGATCCTGCCGATTAGCCCTCATGGCTTAGCCCCAAGCCACTACAACAGAGCCATCTCTCACGACCGTCATCGCGCCAAACCACATTGACCACTCACATCCCAGGCTAACGCCTGTCGAACTTACATTACATCTTTGCGCCTTGATCCCGTCTAGATCATTTCAAGATGACTGTCTTTGTCTGCTCGCTGTAAGCTGCCCACCCCAACCCACCTCTTTTCCTGGGTCAAGCCGTTGATGCGCATTGTAATCCTAACCACACCCGTTGCTGCCACCAGGTTTCTCCCCAAGACGGTGCAGTTTCAGCTGCCCGGCACCCCTCCCCGCCGCGCCGCCTTGGCCCGTCGCCGCTCCTCGACCGTTGACGTCCCTCAGCCGCTCGCCCAGCCCACCCCGGCCCGGCCCAGCCTCTTCGCGCCGCGTCCGGACATCACGCCGCCCCAGACGCCCACTGACGAGTCGCAATCCCCCAATCTCTTTGCCAACGAGGATGGCCTCCGCATCCAGTATCCCCACGAGATGGACTCTCCCATCAACCAGCTCTCCCAGTCCTGGGGCCACCGCTCCGACCAGCCCAAGTCCCGCGCAAACTCTCCGCCCGCGCCGCACGCCTTTGAGACGGGCCGCACCCTGCAAAAGGCCCACGAGCTCGGCCGCCGCGGTGTCGTCCAGCCCAAGCCCCACACTCGCAGCGACAGCCACGACCGCGTCTTCGCTTCGGCCCCCTGGCACGTTGTCAACGCCGACCAGGGCAACGGTGGCCTGCGCAACGCCGTCGACGCCGCCGCCCGCGATGGTAAGCTCGGCGAGCACATGTGGGTAGGCACTCTCGGCATGCCCACCGATGCGCTCGAGGAGACGGAGCAGAAGCAGAATATTGAAGCCACCCTGGCCACCGAGCACGACATGCTGACAGTCTTTTGCTCCGACAAAGACTTTGACGGCCATTACAGCCACTTTTGCAAGCAGATTCTCTGGCCCGTGTTCCACTACCAGATTCCCGACAACCCCAAGAGCAAAGCCTACGAGGATCACTCGTGGCAATTTTACGTCAATGTCAACCAGGCCTTTGCTGACAAGATTGTTGCTAACTGGAAGCGCGGCGACGTCGTCTGGGTCCACGACTATCACCTTCTCCTAGTCCCCAATATGGTCCGCCAGAAGCTGCCCGAAGCCAAGATTGGCTTCTTTCTGCACGTCCCTTTCCCCTCCTCCGAGGTCTTTCGATGCCTTGCCGTGCGCAAGCAGCTTCTCGAGGGCATGCTTGGCGCCAACCTCGTTGGGTTTCAGATTCGCGAGTACACCCGCCATTTCCTGCAGACGTGCAGCAGAATCCTGAGCGTCGAGGCTACGCCCGAAGGCCTGCAGCTCGAAGACCGTTTCGTCGATGTCGTCAACCTGGCCATTGGCATCGACCCTGTCAGCCTGGCAATCCATCGAGAAAAGCCCGAGGTGATGCGCTGGCTCGATATTCTGCAGGAGCGGTACAAGGGCAAGAGGCTCATTGTCGCCAGAGACAAGCTGGATCATGTGCGCGGTGTGAGACAGAAGCTGCTCTCGTACGAATTGTTCCTCAACAAGTACCCAGAGTGGCGCGAGCATACGGTGCTTATCCAGGTAGCGCTCTCTTCTAGTGATAAGAGCGACTTGGATGCTACCGTATCGGACATTGTTACTCGCGTCAACTCATCGTGGGCCAATCTTGCGTACCAGCCGGTCGTCTATCTCAAACAGGACATCGATTATGCCCAGTATCTCGCTCTTCTCAGCGTTGCCGATGCTCTCATGATTACCAGCCAGCGCGAAGGCATGAATCTCACCTCGCACGAGTACCTATTTTGCCAAGATGGAAAAATCTTCCCCGACAAGAAGTATGGGTCTCTGATCTTGTCTGAATTCACGGGTACCTCGTCGCTCTTCAACGGCAACGAGCTCCGAGTCAACCCCTGGGACTATCGGCAATGCGCCGACGCCATCAAGCAAGCCCTGGAGATGAGCGATGACGAGAAGAAGGCACGATGGGAGAACCTGTACGAGGCTGTATCTCTTCACACCGGTTCTCACTGGTTCAGCGAGTTCTTGTCTCGTCTGGATCGTGCATACGAGACTCAGCATAAGCGCGATCAGACATCTGTTCCGCGCCTCTCTGTCCCTGTCGTCACGGACAAGTACAATTTATCCAAACGTCGTCTATTCATCTTGGATTACGAGGGCACGCTGGTCAACTGGGGCCCAGTGAATCAGATCATTCCCGTCAGCCCGCAGAGGACACTGGACGTTCTCAACGAACTCCTGCTGGACGAGCGCAACAGCGTCTATATCATGTCTGGGCGGCTGCCCGAGGAGCTGGATCGCGTCTTCCAGCGCGTGCCCAACCTGGGCCTCATTGCCGAAAACGGCTGCTTCCTGCGCGACCACGGCGCGACAGAGTGGGAGGAAATGGCTGACACGTCTCAGATTAAGAATTGGAAGCGTTCAGTCAAGAGCATCCTCACTTACTACCTCGAGCGCACGCCTGGTGCGGAGCTCGAGGAGCGCCGCTGCAGCCTCATCTTTCACTTTGGCAACGCCGAGGATTTCGAGTCAGCGTCGCGCCTGGCGGCCGACTGCACCAGCCACGTCAACGACGCGTGCGAGTCGCAGCGTGTGCACGCTGTCCTGCTCGATTGCTGCATCATTGTGGAGCCCGCCGACTGGACAAAGAGCACCGCCGCCCAGCAAGTCTTTGATAGATTCAAGAGCCACCTGGGGCCGGACGGTCCACGCAAGGAGGCGGTGGATTTCATGATGGTGATTGGCGATGGACGGGAGGATGAAAAAGTGTTCAAGTGGGCGAACCTGCTCGGCGATGTGGGTGCTGTACGAGAGGTGGTGACGGTGAGCCTGGGTAGCAGAAGCACCGAGGCCAGCGCCACGTTGACCCAAGGTGTCAGCGGTACGTATCCTTCAAGGTGTTTCTTTTCTACCACGCGTCTGTGGTGCTAATAATCTTTTCTAGGCGTTCTCACGTTTCTTCAGCGTCTGGCTGGCACCGGGCTTGGACAAACAGCGGCATGAGCTACTGTCGTGATGACGGGACAAAGAAGACGCGCTGAATGATTCTACATGATTTACATACTTTGTTTCTTTTTTTTTCCACTCTCATTGGCGAAAACACTTTACTTGCGTTCATATTTTCTCATCTTCCTTTGCTCCTCTTTTAGAGTCGGCATTTGCAAACATCTCAGCTCTCTACTCCACGGCGTTTCTTTTAGCGGAGCTTCACCACACACACACCTGCACCAGATGTCTATTTCTTTCCTTTCACATACGAGCTGTCTACGCATAAAAAGCCATTACCCCGCAAGGGCCCTTCTGAAGTTAGATGTATTCAGGCCGAGAGACAATACAATCAAGTCATGTTGCGTGGTTCCTTTTTAGTGCATGCATATTCAGCCAAAGGAAAAGCACGAATCGGATGTAAGGCCTAGCGCCGATCCGTAAGCAGAAGCAGCTTGTTTTACTGCGAGTAAGCTCAATGTTTTAAGCCGAGTGCATGCACCCGACATCGGCCTATGGAGGGGCCATCAGCCCACCTGAGTCAAGCATACATAGAAAATGAGCTGGTGCCCGGTCTGCTTCTCACTATTGATCACTTTTCCCTGTGTCTTGACTTTTGGCATTATTTATCGAGAATAGGCCATCAAGCGAAGCGATCCAAATGTAGGTATTCGAACAACATTGCACCGCTCGTGTGGGCGCAATGGCAGCTGTGATACGTCAATCTCCATCTTTTACTGCCCCGCGCTACCCCTCCACCTCGTCTTCTCTGTGCCGCGATTAAACTTCAACTTTGAAACTCCAACTTACCACGACGCAGCACATCATCGGAACCGTGCAAAAGAACCGACAGACGAACAAACCTCTCAACATGGCTGCTTTTCCCCCTCCCCCGGTCAACACGATTGACTGGTCCAACGTCGGCTTCAAAGTCCGCGAAGGTATAGATAACCCTCCAACCCAGCCCCTCCAATCCAAACCACAACACTAACCACGTCCATGACGCAGTCAACGGCCACATCGAATCGACCTACTCCAAGACGACGGGCCAGTGGACGCCCCTCAAATTCGTCGCCGACCCCTACATGCGCATCCACGGCATGTCCCCCGCCCTCAACTACGGCCAGCAGGCCTACGAGGGCCTCAAGGCCTTCCGCATGCCCGGCGACTCCGCCATTAGCGTCTTCCGCCCGGACCGCAACGGCCTCCGCCTGCAGCACTCGGCCGACGTCGTCTCGATGCCGCACGTGCCCGTAGACGTCTTTGTGCGGGCCTGCCGCGCCGCCGTCGCGCTCAATGCCGGCTTCGTCCCGCCGCACGAGACGGGCGCGGCGCTGTACGTCCGCCCACAGCTGTACGGCTCCAGCGCGCAGCTCGGGCTCACGGCGCCAGAAGAGTACACCTTTTGCGTGTTTGTGGTGCCGACGGGCGTGTACCACGGGACCGGCCCGGTCAAGGCGCTGATCCTGGACGAGTTTGACCGCACGGCGCCCAAGGGCACTGGGCACGCCAAGGTCGGCGGCAACTACGCGCCGGTGCTGCGGTGGAGCGACGGCGCGAGGAACGACGGCTACGGCATCACGCTGCATCTCGACAGCGCGCACCACGAGGACATTGACGAGTTTAGCACGAGCGGCTTCATTGGCGTCATTGCCAAGAGCGAGACGGATGTCAAGCTCGTGGTGCCCGACTCCAACTGCGTCATTGACAGCGTCACGAGCGACAGCGTGCAGCACATTGCCCGCAGCTGGGGCTGGGCCGTCGAGAAGCGCACGGTCAAGTACGCCGAGCTGCCGAGCTTTACCGAAGTCATGGCTGCGGGCACGGCGGCTGCGCTGGTGCCGATCCGGTCCATCACGCGGAGGGTCGCGGGCGGGCTGTCGGCGGCGGAAGGAGGAGTGGCCAAAGTGAGCACAGACGGGGACGAGGTGACGGTGACGTACATGCCGCCGGAGCAGGAGGAGGCCGGGCCGGTGTGCTTGAAGCTGCTAGAGAAGCTTAGGGCTATTCAGCTGGGCAAGATCGAGGACGAGTTTGGGTGGCGGTGCAACGTGGGCGAGGAGGATCTCGCGGTGGATGGCGCGCAGGCGACGACGGGTGGGCAGGCGACGCCGCAGACGGTGGACCAGATGGAATAGGGAGGATGTGGAATTGGATAGTTGTATCTACGCAAAAGTTCTTTCAAAAATACATTTCGAGATGTTTTGGGAATTGGCGTGCGGTGATGACGCGCGATTGTGTAGGCAGCTACATGGCTGGGTTGGAGTTGTATTTGTCGTCAATATATACTTGAGAATGTACAATATGTCTGTAGTCTGGCCAAGCCGGCATGGCATCGTCTCCCCAAACTTGGCCCGTGATTGGAAACTCATCATTCGTCCCACACTACCTCAAGAAAACGCCTTGATGCCCTCGACGAACTTGTCATCAATCTGCTTAATCAGAATCGCCGCAACATCAGCCAGCTCCTTTGGAATCTTTTGCAAAATCGCCGCGCACAGATCCTTTGTCGCGTCGCGCTGCTGCTCGATGACGACCTTGATGATGGGCGTCACAATCACCCAGTTGTCAAACTTTGGCTTGGTGCGGACCAGGTTGTCAATGACGGTGTTTACGTCGTCGGCGAGGGTGCCGGTGGCGCCGGCAATGTCGAGGGCGGCCTCGTAGTCGAGGGCTGCCGAGGCGCGGGCGGTGCGGGTGCCCTGGTTGATGTCGTTGAGCAGGCAGAGCGAGTCGGTGGTGATGGGGACGAGGCCGAGGAGGCCGCCCGAGTACGAGGTGACGGACTTGTTGAGCTGCATGGTGGCGGTGGCAATGGTCTCGAGGGCGCCCTTGATGTCGGCGACGGCGGTGGTGGCGAGGGCCGCGAGGGCGAGGAGCTTGATCTGCATGGTGGGAGAGGGTGGGAGAGGTGGGCAGAGGGAGAATGAGAGAAATGATTCGAGGCTTGAACAGTTTGAGGATGGAGAGAAAGAGAGAGAGAGTTAGGTAGATTGTTAGGTAGATTGTTCCAGGGGATCAGTGGTCGGCTTATATACCAATTGGGATATGGGATGGGGATGGTCATGGATGGGACGGGTTTCGGTCAGACTTCCACATGGCAAGTCGTTGATCAACGGTATAACGAGCCGAGGAACAAACCAGACGTGCTCATCGTCTACCGTCGCAAGCGAACCGGGGTTTCCTGCAAGCCATGGATGTGCTCATATGCACTAGTCATCCCAAAATACTACAAAATCAGCTCCTACTCGGCCGCTGCTTCTCCGCATCTGAGTTGCTGCTCCACCGAAGCTGGGCAATATCAGAGGCAATAAACTGACGAGCACTGCCGGGTGGAGGTAGACTTACCTCGTTCTCGCCTGTTTTTGAAGGCCATTTGCTCGGCCGAGCTCCCCCCGCTCACCAGCAATAAATCAGAGCGAAAATGAGTTCAGGGACCATCAAACTACGATCCGCCTACTCGTTTTGACTTTGCGGGAGAACTCGTTTCCGTGCGTATCTTTGAGTGAATACTGCGGTCGGGTCTTCATTTCTTACTCGCCGCTCACCAGCAATAAATCAGCGAATGAGTCCAGGGACACACAAAAAAAAAAGGAGGAGTGTGTCGGTGCGAAATGTCACCGCCATCATTAGCCCGGCGGCGGCCGCACCCCGTCTTTACCTGATCGGGAAGGCAGTCTGGGGAAACCTTTTTCGCTCCCCCATACTACCCCGGAACTATTTTTTTTTTGTGGCGCCGAGTTATTCCCCTTCTTGACAAAAGAGGTGAGAAAAAAAGTTGGCAGTTTTTGGGGGTCCTTGACAAGCGGAAGCACGGAGCAATTGATGAGCCTCAAGGCCCGGATTCAGCCTTGACGATGCTATGTACGAGGTGGCGCTTTTTGACGATTGTTGTGCAAACTCAAATTTGTGTAAGTGAGCTTGTAATTGGGAAAATAAAAGATTTAAACTGGCAATTGACTGGGAGAGTTGCGGCATAGTATAAACAAACCACCATCGGCGAACAGAGGGGGCGGTTTGAGAGCGACATTGAGACTTGAAGCAACATCCGGGGAACTCTGGGTACTCTGATACCCTTACCCACGTGTGCCACGTCTGGTGAGAGAGTTTCTCTTGTCCCCCCGTCTATTACTATCCTCCCCCGCATCGATGGCATGACGGGTGGAGCGGCGCTCTTTGTTGGGAAGACGGCGATGGTAACCAGGGTTATATTGTTAGTATGGTTCGCGGGGTGGGTGACATTGGCATTGGCTTGGCTTACAAGTTTGCCTTGATGCCGCGGCTGATGGAGGGGGGGGGGGGAGTCGTCGAGATGGGCCTTGTTGGTAAGCTTCTTCATGTGAAGGCCAGCACCAGCACAGAAATCGGGGTGAGGAAAGTGAAAACACCGCCGACTTGAACGTGGGGGGTGAAGGCGAGTGGCTTGGAAAGGTGCTGTGGCACTCGCCAAGCCAAGCTCTGCGTAACTGATAAGTTGATAACTAGATGCCCCTGGAAAGAACGGGCTTACTAGAATTGTACCCGCAACCATCATCGCACAGACTCTCGGCAAATCTTTCAACTGGGCGCCAAAAGTTTATTAAGCTGCGAGATGGTAAACATCGAACAAGGTTCACGAATCCGGGAGCCGGCTACAACCGACTCTAGTGTAGCTCCTTGCAAGCAAGAATTGGAAGAACTATTGAATCAACCAAGGCCCTCGATCCAACTTTTTGTACCTTTTATGCGCAGAGATAACCACACCACAGTACTTATTCGGCCAAAGATTAATTGATTTGGCCTTGACAAGCCCGCAGCTGCCGAAATGTTCGACAAAATGGCCAAGTAGACTCAAGAACTGCGTCGGCTTTGAGGATTGCCATGTCTTGTAATCATAGGTCCCGGTTTGGTCGTCAGCCCCCTTTGCCGCCGCCGAGACATGAAATTCCCGTTGCTGCAAGGTCAGCTCCTCTCTTCATCATGGTTGTCCACCTGCAGCCAGTCGCCAGGGAGCAAGGTTGCAAAAGGAAGCCTTGCGCGATAATCAATGGGTAGCAGGCAAGGCTAGAGATGCTGTTGTAAATAACGCTCCTCCCCATTTCAAGTGAATACATCGTCAAAGGTCGCAACCGCCGCCGAATGCCAAAGTCGGTGCAAACCACTCCGCGATGAACCTGAATCAGTCGTGCGAAGACATTTCCGAGCTTGTTCATGGTTCTATGATAGATGATGCGAGGATTTCCTTCCTCAAAAAATTCTCGCCAAAAGAAAGTAGGACAAGAAGAATGACCAACATGCGAGATATAACTGCAATTTACTTTGATGTCTTTCAATTCACTTTTCCCATGTTTCTGGGTCTGAATCACGTCTCTACTGCAGAAAGAGCACTCTTCCACTCCGTTTCACATTCCTTCGCAAAGCTGGCCAACAGTTCAGCTACATCTCCCGGCGACAAAGCAAGCAAGAGTCCAAGCACTTCGTGACGGCCTATTCGATGCCAGCGCACTGATACAAAGCAGACCCTCTACCAGGCTGGCCATAAATGTACAGCTCCTCACCTATACCAGCATTCTTTGCGTTGCACTGGACGGAACATTTGGTAAGATAGAGCGACTATTGCAACAAATGGTGGATGACTGTGATGGATTTTGGTAGTTAATTTGGGATTGATCCAAGGAGTTTATCCTATTCGAGAACCAAGCGACGCCGTCTGAAAGGTGGGTGCTACGATATCAGATACACAGGTTAATTAGCAGGTTCTAGAAGAAGCACGTCGACCCTGAGACGGTGGCCAAGAATTCGTCCAGCTGAGTATACGGGTGATACTGGTAATATCTTTGGAGCCCTTTGTCAGTGTGAGATGAATGACAGCCAGGGTGTCAGTATATACATGGGTGAGATGTATGGCGAATGTGATTGATCTTTTTTCTGAACATCACTATGAATAACATATGACGTGAGCATTCAAATATCTCAGTATGCTATACTTGGTTGCTGGACTTGTTTTGTTTTGTCCCCCTCTTCTTGTATCTCGACATCACAAGCAAGTCACTGGGTGCTGCCAGCGGTTGGTTCTGTGACCATGTGCGACATGCATGTATAGGGGCAGGAACAACGGGCAAAACTGCAACCGCAAATCCAACAGCCCAAAAAATTCATTGGTGAAGTCGTGTGCGTCTAAATATGCCAAGCAAATAAACAGCTCCCAACACCAATCACTGCGTCCAACGCCTCATCTGCGACACGTGCGCGCTGAAACCACCACGTCTTGCCACCAAATATATAAGCGACGAGAGTCCTGAATTATCCCTCTTAGAAAGATGAAAAAGAAAAAAAGTCCACTACATCATCTCACTTACTTTTTTTCAATATCATACAGCCTCTGCTTAGCCAAGAACCATGTGCACTTTTGCCGCCTATCAATTCGTCTGCCGCTGCCCGGCCGGCGACAACTGCACACAGCTCGAGCGGGGATTTACCGTTCGATACGGGGCAAAGTGGCACTATAGAGCATCGCAAGTCATTTCGCACTCGTGCAAGCTTCAGCGAAGCAAGAACATTATGGAAGCGGACATGAACTGCCCACAGGTGTCGGTTATAGGTGGCGGGGCAGCCATCCCCGTCGAGGACGAAGACGTCTGCGCAGAATGCAAAGCACAGTGTCCGCTGCCCAAGGAGAGCAAGTCGAAATCGGGGCTTCCTTTTGGAAACTTTGGGATGAGGCGCACTTTGTAGAGAGTATGGGAGAAGTGGTGGAGGGCGTGGGAAATTTTTACTTTGTTGGGCGCGCCAAAGGGCGCATCGGCGCGGCATCCATGAGATTTGAGTAGGGTGTGGATGTATTTGGGCTAGAAATACGATGCCAAATGTTGATACTAAAGCGAACTCGAATTTTGAGAAGATTTGTGTTACATGGACCTGATGATCCTTCAACAAGGGTACGGTACCGAATCAGGGTCAGGCTCGAACAGCCGCGATTGAAAGCGTCGAGGACAACGATGATGGACCGCAATGTTATCATCTACAAATCTATTTGGGCTCAAATAGAAGGCAATACATTACTTTTGATACCCAGGTCGTGTCTCGGAAAAGACGCTGCAGTGATTGGGCTGCGTAGCACCAGATCTCGGCCCAAATCTGTCAGCACAAAATCGCAATTATATATGAGAAGAAATGGGAAGAAATCATTAGGTTCCACGATTTTGACGAAAAGAGACAAAATTACATGAGATTTTAGTTATTACTTTTTTGCCACTAAATTACTGTCCAATCATCTGTGTTCCGCATCGTCTTGCTCGGACCCGAAAGATGTGCAAAATTATGCTGCAGCAGCCTATCTCAGGCTCTCTGTCCCTGCCCAGCGGGGTACGAGTGCATCAGCTCTGCTTAGGTCTCCACCGTCTACATGAAGAAACTGTTTCGTTTCAGAAAAAAAGATGCCCTGATACGGTCGGCGGCGTGTTGGGAGCAGCGCAGGCAAGGCAAGGCAACGGCGACGTGCCGCGACGGGGCCTGCCCAAACACACGGTCGCCAGAGTCCAACAAGTTTGATTGGGAGAGTGAGTGATCCGTACGGCTACGTTTTTGATGCGAGAATATGCGTGGCCCTGTGAGAAGTGCCCTCTGCCCAAAGATGCAAAGTAGGACCTTGATTGTGATGAGTGGCACGAGCTTCAAGTTTGGGCAGGAGGCCCGCTGACGGATGGGGACGAACATTCCGTGTACAACGGCGCGTAGAGCATGGACTGTTGTTAATCATGGCTACTATAAGAGTATTGGTCACGGTCATATCTGGTGATGAATAACTCGGCAGTGAAAAAAAAAAAGACCAAATCCTTCCACTCTATCTTGGTACTTGGTTCGCGACTATATATCTGCTTGGCAGGTTACCATACGCTCATTCAAGCCTCACTCTACCACTCATTTATCTGATTTCTTTGTTTCTTTCATTTTTCTTCGTTTTTATCTGGTGCAGATATTCTCCTTTGCCAAGTACCACCACACAGCATCACCATGTGCAAATTCTACTACGAAATCACACTGTGTGCCTGCGGCGAGGCCGGCCGATGCCTGGGCGCTCTGAGAACCAGCCAAGTCAGCATCGGCGGCACGCCCTACCACGTCGTGAGCGATGCGGTCCACAGGAGCGAAATCTGTCTGCGCCGACGGCTCAAGGAGAGAGGCTCGCGTGCATCACGAGACTGCTTCCAGACGGCAATATCGTCGCGCATGGGGAAAGTGGGCGACAAGACAGTCTACGTCTTTACGGACCGGCCCTGCAGCAACTGCAGCATGTGCAGCAACTACCTATGAGCGCATGTACTTGGGCAGACTTTTCTTTTTTATTTTTTATTTCTTCGGGCGCCGCCTTGACTCATCAGGAGTTTCGCGTGTTGCTCGTCATGAAACAATCTTTCTTTTTTATTTTTATTTTTATTTTTATTTTTATTTTGTTGTTTTTTTTTTCTCCCGACAAATTCTAAACAAAAAGGTTAATAGAGGTCAGGGCGACTTTGGGTACCGCTTTGCACGACGTCGATGTGGTCGCACCATTATATAAAGAAAATACAGAACATGCTGCAACTTCGTCGTTGTTGTTTCCGAGCCAAACACACAAAAAAAAAAAAAAAAAAGACTTAGCCTTGCACGCACCCGTCTCTTTCATGTGCCCATTCTTCTTTCTTCCCTCCTTGATTTCCTCCCCTTCCCTTTTCCCGACGTCAAAACCCAAAAGGTCATGTGCCAGTTTATCCAGGTACAAGAGTTTTGCCCGTGCACGGCCGAGGACCGGTGCCGGCGCATCGAAGAGGCAGTGGAGACGCCGTACGGCATGCGTCACGCCGTGAATCAGACGGGCCTGGTGACGGTCGTCTGCAAGCAGCGGCGCTTCGTCATGTCATCGGCGGCCTTTGCGGCAAGAGAGTGTCCCAACACGTCCGAGGGGTCGAGGGCCGGCCCCGAGGGCGACGGATTCCGCTACGAGCCCGCCGAGAAGATGTGCCAGTTGTGCGCCGATTTTTGCGGCATTCCTCGTGGCGTCTGAAAGAGAGGGAGGCGGGGGGATCTTCTGTTTCCCATTCAGGCGTGTCATCCGTGGTGAATCTGTCACTCGCTGGGTTTCCTGTATGACGTCTGCTGGGCGTAACACCAAGTTGCTCCGCGGCACGCGCTCGGTGTACGGTATGGTCAGCTGCACTCAGCCCCGGGCGCGGGTGTGATACTTTGACAATAAAGTACGTCACTAACTCGAGAAGGTATCCTTTCCAGATCCTTTGGCTCCATACCGATTCATAGGGGCAACATGCGGCATGGCGGGGTAGTTGAATCGACCAGGCATGTCCCTGCGATGGGAGTGCGAGGGTCAAGACAAAATTGCTTTCTCATAAGGTTATTCGGGGTAGGAGAAGATGGAAACACTTGGTCAGCGGTTTATATAGTCGGTAGAGTTGTCGTGTGATTTTCTTTTCTTTTTTTTCCATTTCTTGGTCTGGTTTGCTGTAACTGCGTCATCGGCGCGGGGCAGCAGCGCGGGGCAGAGATTTCTTTTCCTTGATTGTACTGTAAACAGTCTCGTCGCAGCATGAAACGCGCGCACTGCCAACTTGTCTCGGTAGCAGATATCAATCATCCCTCAACCATGCATTTACCTGAATTTTCTGTCTTTTTTAAATTCGATATCAGGGTCCTTTTAGCGCGGCCGCGGTGACTTTTCTGTGGTGCCCCTCCTGCCCCTCTATTGGTCAGCGGCAACGGCGCCGTTATCCACCCAAGTTCCTCCAGTGTGAATTTTTTTTTCTTCGCGTTGCCGCGACTCTGCTCTTGTTTGGAGACTTGACAAGAGCTGTTTTCAGATTCTGTTCGTCTACCCGTATCAAAAAAACGTAGACTTTTGAAAATCGGCTCCATTTCTCATCCACCGAGCCGCCCATAGATATTACCCCGCCATGTCTGTCACCGACGTTGAGACGGAGCCTCACAAGCTCTACGACACCATCCTGGTGCTCGACTTTGGGTGAGACTCGCATCAATTATTGCGACATGCGTACATGTGCTAAATTATGCCTTTTCGTACAACAGCTCTCAGTTCTCCCACCTTCTTATCCGCCGTATGAGAGAGTTCAACGTCTATGCCGAGCTGCTCCCGTGTACACAAAAGGCTGCCGACCTAGCCTGGAAGCCCAAGGGTATTATCCTGAGTGGTGGTCCCTACAGTGTCTACGAGGATGGCGCTCCTCACGGTATTTTCAGTCCCAGCTCACGCATACCATGTAGACGTTGACACTGTCTCAGTTGACCCCGCCTGGTTGGACTATGGCGTTCCCATTCTCGGCATCTGCTATGGAATGCAGGAACTTGCCTACCGTCTATCCCCTGATAACGTTATTGCCGGTACTGCCCGAGAGTGAGCATCTTTGTCCGTCAATGTTCGGCCTGCTCGTCTAACAATCAATAGGTACGGTCTTGCCGTCCTCAACGCCAGCAAGGTCAGCGGACATGTTGACCGTCTCTTTGTAAGTGCACACATAAATCAGGGTGGACGTGGTCTTCTAACACTTTAATAGGAGGGCATTGGCGAGGATATGCGCTGCGTAAGTTAGAGGTCTTTTGTAGGGAAATGCCGTGAGACTAACAAAACAAGTGGATGTCCCATGGCGACAAGCTGTCCAAGCTCCCTGATGGCTTCCACACCATCGCGACGACCAAAAACTCCGAGTATGCTGCCATTGGCCACAGTGACAAGCCCATCTACGCTATTCAATTCCATCCCGAAGTTACCCACACAGAAAGGTACGCAATTCACTACAGCTCGTCCCCTCAAACCATTCTGACCGAAACCGCAGTGGTGGCATTATCCTGAAGAACTTTGCCGTCGGCATCTGCCAGGCCCAGCAGAAGTGGACCATGGCCAGTCTCGTTGATCAGTGGATCACGCGCATTCGCAACCTCGTCGGTACCAAGGGCCAGGTCCTCGGCGCCGTCTCCGGCGGTGTCGACTCGACCGTCGCTGCCAAGCTGATGCACGAGGCCATTGGCGACCGCTTCCACGCCGTCATGGTCGACAACGGCTGCCTGCGCCTCGACGAGGCCAAAAAAGTCAAGGAGACGCTCGAGGGCCACCTCGGCATCAACCTAACCGTCGTCGACGCAAGCAAGCAGTTCCTCGACGGCCTCGCCGGCGTCACTGACCCCGAGGCCAAGCGCCGCTTCATCGGCGGCAAGTTCATCGACATCTTCGAGGCCGAGGCCGAGCGTATCGAGAAGGAGGCCAGCCACTCAGACCGCGCCGGAAAGGTCGAGTTCTTCCTCCAGGGCACCCTCTACCCCGACGTCATCGAGAGCATCTCCTTTAAGGGCCCCAGCCAGACCATCAAGACCCATCACAACGTTGGCGGTCTGCCCAAGCGCATGACCGAGGGCCATGGCCTTAAGCTCATTGAGCCTCTCCGCGAGCTTTTCAAAGACGAGGTCCGCGAGCTTGGACGCCAGCTGGGTCTTCACGAGGAACTCGTCATGCGTCACCCTTTCCCCGGCCCAGGCATCGCCATCCGTGTCCTCGGCGAGGTCACTCCCGAGCGTGTCGAGATTGCTCGCCGCGCTGACAATATCTTTATTAACATGATTCGTGAGAATGGTCTCTACAACGAGATTGGCCAGGCTTTTGCCGCTCTCGACCCTAGCGTGAGTCCATCGCGCTGCAAATACGGCGTACTGCAGACAACTAACCGTGTGACAGCGTGCTGTCGGTGTCATGGGTGACAAGCGTGTCTACCAGTACATCATCATCCTCCGCGCCATCCAGACCAAGGACTTCATGTCTGCCAATCCTTATCCTTTCGACCACAAGCTGCTCAATGAAATCTCCACCCGCATCACGAATGAGGTTGACGGCGTGTGCCGTGTCGTCTACGACGTCACCAGGTAAGCTAACAATGAACCAAAACGTTGACAAAGTTCAAAAGCTGACTGAGATGTAGCAAACCTCCTGGCACTATCGAGCTAGAGTAGAATGGACTTGGGTAGAACGGGATACAGCAGGCGCACAAAATTAGAATTGGGTCTTTACTCTGAGGCAGAGTTTTCCATATATTCGAATAATGACTACATGAAACTATTTACCTTCTGCTAGCCTGTATGAGTGGGCTAATTATCAACGTCCTATGCTCTCTGAACTAAGCTCCCTATTCGTAGACCATACAAGGTAAATTTCACGAGATCTGCTACCTTTACACATTGTCAGTTCGGACATTGAACTTCTCGGCAGAGTACGCCTTCTTATGGAGTATGCGACTCTTGTCAAACCCAGAATGCAAGCTCGGCAGGGGTCAAGAATCGGATAATAAGCCGGCGTGTGTCACTCACTGAGATAGCTCAGCTGAGTTTGGTGTTTTACGCGATACATCTGTATTGAGGAATTGGAATGCGGATCATACAAAAACAAGGCATTTTTTGAAGTAATATATTCGGAATGGATAAATACGAAACTATATGATGCGTCCCTCTTTGTACAAGGGCATGGCTGAGAATAGTAGAAGATGAGAAAAGAAGTTCAACAATCATACACAATGACTCAGCTGCAATGTGAAGCCAAGCTGAATCTCTTCAGTCATCCACCATGCCAATCAAGCCAACTCAGCTTTTGAATTGGTTAAATTTTCCAAGATCGAGAGGTCAGAAGCACAAGTGGTGCCGCTTATGCCGAGACACCAGCGGGTCTCTGGCAGAGAACAGCCTGCTCGGCCTGTTTGACGCGTAATTAGCGGTTGCCTTCTGGAAATCTCATCAAGGGTACTCACGACAGGGAGAACAGCACAGCGAGCCTGCTTGCCAACCTTGGCACAAATTTCCTGGAAGTGTCTGGCGTCGCGGGGAGTTTCAGAAGCTACAAAAGTGTCAGTCAAGTTGGAATCGTGAGGGGTAAGTTTGAAGACCGCCACGTACGGGAAGTCGCGTGGAGGCACAAGATTCCGAGGACGTCAACGTCAGCGCAGACAAGGTTGGAGTAGAGACCGCTGGGGCACACGGCTTTATCAGTGCGAGCCTCGATCTCAGTGGTAGGCATGGCGAGTGCGCCAGCGAAGAGAGCAGCGATAGCAAAGAACTTCATTTTGAACGTGGTGAAGAGTTGAGGGGGGTTCTGGACTGAAGAGATGTGTGTATGAAGGTGAACTTGGTTTGTGATGATCTGAGAGAATTTGATACAAGATATTGGGGGATTTTCTGTGCTTTATATACTCGATTTCGAGGCCTTGTTGGGCATCGGAAGGTTGTTCGCTCTCTCAAGTCCAGCTCAGCTGCATTACCTCTGCTCCACCCGAGTGGCTTACCCATCTCCAATAGGCAAACAAACAGGGATAGAAAAGAGACGGCGAGGTGAGAAAAGCAAATAATACCGTAACTGGGAAGAAAACCAAACAAATTGTGGCTCTCGGGGCTGTTGTTGTTTCCTGCATGGCCCCAATAGAACGTCCATCAAGGCGGCCTTCTTGATACCCCACTAGGTATAAGAGTGCCTGGCACACCTGGGCAGAGCTCAATAATGGGGCTGATACGAGTAGGGTGTGTTTGTAATTTGTACTGTACCAGGATTACATGCATTGACTCGAAATGGGTTTTACAGTCTGATGCAGGTCGTTTTTTTTTCTCGGATTCAACCGGCAGAATCGAGAATGAGCGGTTGCTTCCGGTATCTGTCTCGGGATTCCGAGACATTCTTGTCAACAGTGAGCCAAGCAGACTCGGTAGACAAAGACAAAAGAAAAGCTGACAAGGAGAGACATTGCGATTACAACGTTACTAAAACTACTGTGCGGCTGACTTGACTTTACACGCTTGCACATTCCTTTGTGGTGGATTAGAACAACACCGCCATCGCATTAGCTTGGGGGGGCTAAGATGAGATGTGCATCATGGTGACCACTTCATTTGTAGATGTATTTTGAACTGTCTAAATATAGAGGCTGAGGAAAGCTCCGAAACTCCGTGGCCAGCCTACTCTTGACGTATCTTTACAAAAAGTGCTCGTCTTGACACCAAAGTGTTATGATCAGATATTCAAGTAGTTGGTATACATTCTTGTCATGATTGACCCTTCATTGACTCTTTCCATCGTCGAGAGGCATATATAGCATCTCGTATGATCAGTCGCCTACACTCGGCACTTGCTTGAGCCTCCGACTAGCATATGGGGCATGATTTCCAGTGGTAATGTCGAGCATAGAAAATGGGTTAATAAAAAATACGAATCAGGCGTGATGTCTTGCGGAAAGCATGCCGGCTTCGATCCCGCTCCTTGGTCTGGTCCATCTAGCCGACCTACTGGGTAATACCATCTTGCCGTTGTTACGCCCACGCCACCGCCAAAACTTGATTTTCAAAGGATGCGCTAACATCGGAGTATCGCAGCACAAAGCTGTCAAAGTGTGGAGCGTTGCTGCACCCCTGGGGTTTGTTCCGTTGCCAGGTCGTAGGGACAGGTTTGTCAGAACACCAGGTTAAAATCAGAGAAATCGCGGGGACCCCCCTATGAGTTGTCGTTTGGGCTTGCTGCGGGAAGACAGAAGCGAAATGCGAGTTGTCATGTGCTTAATCCAGAGATCCCTGTTCCTGCAATGCAAGAGACGAAGCAAGGCGGATTTGGGGCATCGTTGTGCTATACGTATGGCAATATGTATGCAAGTCGCCAAGGAACAAGCATTTAGTGTGCAGATAATTGCAGAAACTTTAGATAGTTTTGCACGGAGAATCATTCCGATGTATTGAATCATTGTCTATTTAGTCTAGTCTGATGTCATTAATTTGCTTGGTATCTGAAGTTCCGCTCTGGAAAAGAAGAAAAATCCAAACGAGAAACATGGGCGAGTTTTTCAATCCCGATTCCGAGCCATTGTCACCGCTCCGCTTCAAGTCGAGTACAATGGCCAGGATGGCAAGAGAGACATGCATAATTGGCGTGGCTAGGTTGTTAGTCCTGGATCTATCAGCTTCTACCAAGTACAGGTGCCTTTTTTTTCTCTCCTGCGCGCACACATATGACCCATCGGAATGCCTTGCGACCGGGCTCCATCGTTGGGCAGCTCTTGCTTGCATGCAATTCGAATTGCAGCTCGGCCAGTGGCGTGAAATGTCTCCTTTGCTGCAGCTATTTTACGCCTGCGAATTAGCCATGCAAAAAGCAGGTTTTTTCCCTTAACTAACTAGATCCTTCCGCCACTGGTGAGAATAAAACATATAAAAAAAAGAAATTAAAAATTTAGCGCCTTGACGCCTCCACTTGATTTGCAATGGCCGTTTAATACTCCGTATTTCATGCGGAGCTAGCCCATAGAATTTGTTATTACAAGGCAGACCCAGCAGCTCATTCTTCTTACTAATAATAATACGGCAGATGGCAAACGTTCCAGGGTCACATCAAGATGTCCTCCACAACCCACTTGGCAAACTAACTATCTTGGTTGGGACGAAAAGCGTTGCGGTGCTGACCGAGTTGAGCGGCCCGTGCGCCGCAATGGATGGATGAGTTTCCCTACATTGGAAAGTGACTCGATGCTCAGCGGCCTCGAGAACTTGATTATCGCACTATGCAGTCTTGCAGCTCGGCCAAGCCTTGTTGCTGCGGAAAGCACCGCGCGATACAGGCCGTTACATGTCAATGTGCACCACACAGATACGGCATGGTGCGACCCCCCAGGTTACCAGAAGCCAGGGAGGACCATAAATAGCATAAATTGACCAGGCTCTTATTCTGCCAGGGGGACACCGGGATGTGAACATACAGGCAATGCTGGTAAGCTGAAGAGTTGGCGGGGGGTCGCAGCCAGGGCGGGACCGGCCCGGTCGGCCCCTCCACGACTTGTTGATGTGCCGGGGGCGGGAGGACCCTCTCTTTTGCAGTTAGAAAGGAAGAGGATTGCCGTGAAGGATTTTGTCCTGGACAACAGTGGTTTTGCTGGGCTTGCCCAGCTTTGCCGATCGACTACCAGCGCTTTCCATGCATGTCTCCCCTTGCAGTGTGCTCGAATACACTTGACCAGGCCATCATTAGTTTCCGCAGGCTGCCACTGCGCGGACTTTGTGTTGGGCAAGAGAAGAGGGGCTAATTTAGCCCGTGGCGCTATCTAGACTGAATAGTGATTACCCTTCTGGTTCTGTCATGGCCAACTCTTGGCCTCGCCCCCATTGAGAAGACGAGGCAGCCCACGGCTCGTCGCTCAACGCCTCGGACATAATATTCCTGTCTATACTTTCCGCAAGGCTGGGCTGTTTTGACGGCATATCAAATTCACTGATCAGGCGGCATTACTTGACTAGTCATTTACCAACTAGGAATGGCGCTATGACAGCGCCACAACTTGACTGGGAGATGAGGGCTTGGGGTTAATTAGTACCATTTTTTGCGACCAGATTTCACTGACTCTGCGGACCCCAATTAAGTTAAAGGGAATGGACAAGTTCTTTCCTCGGTCGAGCCGGTCGAGCAGTTACCTCTGGGGGTTGCTTGCTTGCCCTTCCGAGTCCGTCCCGTCAAGGCCGTCGCCAATTTTAGTTTGATAGAGACCGGGTTGCCGCCGGAGCTAGCCACCAACGCCAGGTAAAAGGAAGCTAGTGCTATCTCTGGCCATGCATACATGGTCCTACACTTGTCTATTCTCCCTTTTTCATTGTGCCCACAAGTTCGTCCCGAAAAAGCAAAAAAAAAGAAAAGAAAACCACGAGCGTGGAGATTACAACGTGAACCTGGAGGAGCCACATGAGGCAAAATCTCACGGCGTACGGATTACTCGGGCAGCAATCTTTTCTTTCAGCCTCAGACTCTGCGCCGAGGCGTCTGGCCTTGTTCGGAGACCATCTGCGGCGCCCGACAGACATGCACAAGAAAAGAATCCCCAGCCAGCTGAAAGGGACCTGCAGCTTGCCCCCAAAATAAATACGAGCGACGAATTGAGAGTAAAATGTTACATGATGGGTACTCTGAGACATATCATGGGGCTTGAAAGGTGCCTGATCGCGTTGAAAAGAGCGAGCAAGTCAACAAGGTTCCTGTCCTGCTTGTGATGTGCTGCTCGAGTTGCTTGTCTTGAACATTACCCGAGTGAGCTGGGACGGCATCCTTTCCGCCCTCGTTTGTGCGTCTACAAATGATTTGTCCACGTTTGATAATGCACGCACCAGTAACAGATTACTCTGCAACATTACTCGGTTGCCACCGAGTATGCCACGCCATTCGTGCGTCAAAGAGTGTCACAGCCGAGGCTTACGGGTGGCAAGCTGTTCTATTCGTAGGTCAACACACCTCGATCAATAGTCTTTTCCGATCCAACTGCACCTCACAAGCTTGGTCAGCTGGATCTCGCTTCGTATAGCCATAAACAGCATCCACATCAGCGCCGTCAGTACGTGTTGGTACAATGGGGCATTCGAGCCCTGGACCGCCGAATAGACTGCAAGATATCTCTTTTCGATCCTTGCCAAATTGATCTTGACGCCCAGAATCGACTCATCCCAGAAAACTTATCGCACTGTGCGGCTGGCGGCCGAGTGGCTTGCAACTGGAGCGGTGGTGGCGAATTCGGCAAGAAGGTGACCTGCCACCTACCTGCCACCCAACTGTGCAGCTACATCGCCAAGGCACAAGATGCCTCGTTCGGCCCCATCTGCCACCGGTTACATGCTGCGTAATATACGTGCAGTGTCGATCGACAAGGTGACAAAAAGCTCAAGCACCTTGGCACCATTACTCGCCAGCTGATTTTTGGCCCACGCCTTGCATCGAAGAGGGACGCGAAATTGTCGGCACATGGCCATGATCATTGGTGCTTGGCAGGCAAGAATCATCAAAGTCTGCATGCAACTTTTCAGCCTCTCTGACACATAGAAAATCGAGGTTTATCGCCTTTCGGCGCGCTGTCACGTCGCAAATGGCATCGTGAGTGGCTTATGGGGGGCCAAGCCTACTTCAATAAGCTGCATGGCGACCAGCGACGCCATTGACGTATTTTGCTAAGGCTCTCGCCGGCCTGCATTTTTAGCTGTGCAACACCATTTCGGTGCAGAATTGAATGTTGAGTTGACTGTCATTGAGTACAACTTTTTACCCCGTAGGCTGCT